TGCTAGAAAGAATAGTTAGGTTAGGTATTTGCCCAGTTAAAAACTGAGTGGAATTAAGTTACTAGGAGTTACCTTTTCAACAGACTTAAGTGTCATGGCTCAGAAGAAATTTGAAAACAAACGTTTTGGGGTTCAATTAATAATAAACAGGTGGGCGAAAAGAATAATTACTCCTCTTGGTAGAATGGCCATTATCAAAGTCTTGCTCAATTCAAAATTGAATTATCTATTTCTTACACTCCCTGTAAAGGAGGGTGGACATGGTAGTTTTTTCCTATGTACATTCTCTGAAGCTATCTGAGAAACTGTTGGACATCATAAATGAATCCAAATGGAGACTTGTCAATTTTACAATAAATTGTATATTTATTAATACTTATCCTATCTCACACTGTGCATTTCCCCCTTCCTTGAGTGGAAACGATCCTTAAACGTGTTTCCAGCTTCCAACAACAACACACCCAAACACACCCCATCCGTCTCCATGGCTACCATCACCAACAATGAGATTAGCTGAAACAAAAAAAACCTTTGTGCTATATAGACTAATTTATCATGAGGTCGGGCAACCCTGTTGGCAACAGCGAGCGAATCATCCCTTCCCCCGGGCGGAGTTGTACAAGCACCACTCACGCTTACAGTCGTTCGACGTAAGGTGTTTGAGCCTTGGCATCTCTTTTCGCACTCTTTGTTTTACTCAATCACAACCGCGGTGATTGAGTGTACTATAACAGGAAGAGGAGCCATTGACAACTGGCCTCGCGAGCCTTCAAACGCAACCACTTGATCCTAACCACCGGTTGGTGAACAGAGGGTTAATCTTAATTGTAACAAGAGTTTGCCACTAACGTGGCTCAGCGTGGTATCCCCCGTCCCTGTTGCAGAATTTATCGTAATTAAATCTAAACAAACCCTAACCTTTTTTAACCGAGGTGGAACTTGTCAGGGAAATTGTAAAAATAAGAAGAGTTTGGAACCTAAGTCCATCTTGTTGCCATGGAAACGTAAAAAAAAAAAAAAAATAAAAAGCAAAAGGCACCAGTTCAGCATGTACCTGACAAACCTGCTAAGTTTCATGAAAAAATATTGAACGGTTTATGAGTTATGCTCCGGAAACGAACCCTACCCTCATAGAACCTAAGTCCATCTTGTTGCCATGGAAACGTAAAAAATGAAAATTTCTAAAATTTCTAAATAGCAAAAGGCACCAGTTCAGCATGTACCTGACAGACCTGCAAAGTTTCATGAAAAAATATTGAACGGTTTCTGAGTTATGCTCCGGAAACGAAACGTGACGGACGGGCGTACGGACGGACAGAGCCCGTTTCTATATATATCCCGCCAACTTTGTTGGGCGGGGGATAATAAAGAAGTTGTTCATCCATAAATCGTATCCCTACTTAGTACTCCAACTAGTCCAACAAGTCATTGGGGAACTGTCACGTTCTCATTCTGTAGATAGTCAACAGTGGCACGTGCAGTACGCGGCCTGGCATTATCTCTCTAGAACACTTCTGTCTGGCTGTCAATAATGAAAAATTGTGTGATGTAAAAATTCAACCCTGTCGCGAATCGCTGTTACATACCCCCATACGTGCATGAGGTTTAATCTAAACTGACGTCCAAAAGAAACTTTACCAGAGTTTGAAATCACTCTTGCTCAAAAACAACAAAACGTACATGCATGAAGTAAAGTGTATTGAGAAGATCAATATATCAACATAATCAACACTGAAAATGACAATCATACCGCGACCGAGAATGGCGACAGAGCCCCCCAAAGTTGGGTATGGTACAAAACTCGAGCTTTCAGAATCATGGACAATAGGCAGAGTACATAAACAATCGCTCACGTTCAATAACAAGTCATTAGTAGCGTGTGTGACCACCAAATGCCTCAATACACGCAAAAACTCTTCGACGCACAGACAAAGTCAGTCGTCTGATGAGGTCACGTGGGATTTGACGCCATTTTTCTTGGAGGGCCAAGATCAGTTCTTGCCGGTTGGCTGGAGAGTGTGGTCGTTGTCGAACACGACGATCCATCAAGTCCCAGAGGTGTTCTATGGGGGACATGTCGGGTGAGCGTGCAGGCCACGACAGGGCGTTGACGTTGTTGGCTTCGAGGAAGTTAGTGACAATTCTGGCTGTATGGGCTCTAGCGTTGTCATGCTGATAAATGACACCACGTGGCTGCTGTTGGAGATATGGTAGGACAACTGGACGAAGAATGTTATCCATGTACCGCTGAGCTGTCAAGTTTCCGTCAACGATGACCAGCGGTGTCCTCTCCTGCCCACAGATCCCTCCCCACACCATGACACTCCCTCCACCATATGGTACGACCTCCTGCACGCAACACGCCGCCGTTCGTTCACCCCTTCGGCGGTAAACACGTTGTCTTCCATCAGCCCTAAACATACAGAATCGACTTTCGTCAGTGAAGACAACCCTCTGCCAGTCACGTCGTTGCCAACGTCGTACAGTCCGGGCCCATCTCAATCGCAGACGACGATGTTGCGCTGTCAATAGCTTTCCTCTGTATGGTCTAAAAGCCCTGATTCCATGAGCCCTGAGTATCCTGGCCACTGTCTGTCGACTAACCCTGTGACCTAAGGCATTTGTGGCCGATGACGTCACTGTCAGGAAGCGATTTCGGAGGTGCAAGGTACGCAAGTACCGGTCATCATGGGGCGTGGTCACCCTGTGTCTGCCTGTTCTTGGCCTGTCAGCGGTCCGCCCTGTCTGTCTGTAACGTTGCATCAAGTTGGTAACGGCAACACGGGAGCAACCGAAGGTTCGTGCAATATGGGCGTGGGTGGCTCCCATCTGTACCATACCCAAGGCTCGTTCACGTTGTTCGACTGTGAGTCGTGGCATTTCTTTTGTGTGTTTTTTTTTATCACTGTGGATGTCTGACTTGCCGTTGCAATCGTTTTATACCCTTAGCCGCACGTGCATTTGCAGTTGTCCGTGCTGCACGTGTTTTTCACTTTTTCGCGTGTTATCTCGCAAACATGTAACAGACGATTAACATTTTCTGCATACACTATTGTTGTATTTAGGTTACGTGTTTTAGATAGACTTCATCGAAAATAAATTTATACTTTGTCTGAAATTTATATTTTCAGTTGGTAAAGTTTCTTTTGGACGTCAGTTTATATGTGCGTGTAGGATATGATAGGGCTCATTTATTAGTAATAGATCTATTGTGACATGTATTATTAAAATGAAGATGAATCGTGTAATGTCTTTCTATGGGATGGTGTTTGTGGGTTCTGGGGTATTCCTTGTTTCTCCCCCTTAATATCGGGCGCCGCCAGGCAGGCCAGGCAGACACTCACAGGAGATAACGCTTGGGTGACATCAATATTGTAGATATCGCTGCAATGAAATTGCATCACATTGCTTTGAAGACCATTGTGACGTCATTGTTACCATGACGTCACAATCAAATGACATCACTAATGGCTCTGATACGAAGCTGTTTAACAGTACTTTTTACACTTAAGACACTGCTTATTACTGTCTACAAACTGAAAAAGAATTATGTTGGATGATAAATAAAATATCACCCTCGTGTCTTTTGATATGAAATATATCCAAACTCGTTGATATATTTGATATCAAAAGACACGAGGGTGAGACTCTCTATATCCCACTAACTCGATCAGCACTCAGTCACATCATAATGACTCCGAGCAGGCCAGTCTCAATGCTGAGCGCTGGACAGGCTAACAAGAAGAGGACAATTTTAACGTCTTCTGGTTGGACTCGGTTTGGGGATCTTACCACCCATCATCCGCTTGAAGTCCTAGCAGACCTTCACTATATATCCACTACACCACAGCCTTAGAAATTGGCACTAGTCATATAGTCCTTGCCAAACTGCCCAATAGTTATGGTATCATGAGGACGAATAGAAATTTGCCATTTTTAAGGGTGTTGCTATATGTTATCATTATGAGGACTAGTGGACTAAAACTGTTAGTTTCTATCGCTGCACCACGGGGGCGATTGTAGGGGCATATCGAAACGAACGGTTCAGTGAACCTTATTGTATCCAAATGTAATGGAACCATTTAGGTTGAGGTAAAGTGATATTATTTTACGCCGCAGTCCGAAATATTCCACTACCCCAGGGGGCTCTGTAAACAATCGATTCTGAGCTAAGAAAATCTCATTCAAATCAGATCTTAGTGCTCGTAGCAGCACAGTAGTTATCGCTATGTCCTGCGAGCACTAAGATCTGATTTTAATGTGATTGGGGATAAGAAAACCCGTGAGCCGTCGGGGCAGGTACCACACAATCCACCATTTAAACCACTCTAGCAACATTAGTCTCCTCGTACTACAAGTCTGCATGGGACACTTAGGACCTATATTTTACCAAGACATTTAGTGTCACGGCCACCGAATAAGCGATGTACAGGTATCAATAACTCCCAAGTCTATAGTAATATTTTGTTAAAGTGTATAACAATATTCGTTAAGTGAAAGGACAATAATTGTTCACACTTTGTTTCTTTTAAAACAAAAAATGAAATGTTTGAGTAACGCCTAAAAGTTTATCCGGATCGTAGGTTTTCGGATATGTTTTCGGACGGTCAGATTTATCGTGATTACTCGTGCTATAACGGGGGGTGTAGCATCACACATACTTTGTAAATACCCAGATGATGGCTTGTTTTTAAGAGAAAGTTGTCTTTTAAAAGAGAATGAGATGTTTTGCAGTTGTTCATGTGATTAGAGAGAAAACTATACATGTTTCGATTTAAGCGTCCGAAAACCCATAAACAATTCTTCAGTATTCTTCTATCTATTTCACTTCTATTCTGCCAAAAGCCATATTTAGATTGACGTGAAATATTTGAAGTTCTCTAATAGTTTGACTTCTCTATTCCATATAATGATGGCTAAGCAATCCCAACTACTTGCCAGGTTACGAGAGTTATCTCATGACTGCTCGTTTCTCGTCGAAGATGGCGCTCTTGGGCGCTGCTTGTACGCATGCGTGAGAACTCCTATACTTCCGTTTGATGGATGGACAGTTTTAGAGGAGATACATGAAATATTTAGTCACAAAAGTGTGATTTAAGCAAACTATTGTGTATGCGTTGTTGACACCTATTGTAAGATTCTTCCAAAATGGCTAGCGTGTCGTATCATATCGCAAATCTTCTTGAGAAGGTGAGAACGCCAAACTTGCCGGTCATCATGGTCGCTGCCATTTTTTTTCCCGAGGGCTGTCTCGCTCTTCTTGAACCTTCGTTTATCATGTATACATGCCTTCGTTTATCATGTATACATGCCATGAAATCATATAGAGCATGCTGTGCTAAATAAACATTTTCTGCGGTAAAACCCACATTCTATTGCAATTTCATACATTTTGAATCATATGCAGTGTTCCATCTGAACCGAACATGTGACATGTCAAAGCCAAACAGAAAAATAACTCAAAACTTGAATAGGCCTGGTTGTCCTGACAAACGTCGATGCATTTCCATTACAAATTCTTGAATGAAAATTTGATATTCTATCTGACATACTGTCATGTCATGAAGGAGGTGAATCAGCTGCCTGTGTGCTCCAGTGTTTGGCCAGTGCAGTCGTGTCCTAATATTAGCGTGATGGGCCTAGACCTAGCTATAGATTTGGGAATGGTCTGGGGCTGTGAATACACAAGTGCGTTGTAGGCAAATACTTGACGCTTTGAAAACGTGATTGTGCATGTGGCAATATTAAAGAATGTTTCTTATGCAGTTAGGAACAGTGTCTTATAGCTGTCAAGTTTTCCCTCTATAGTTCATCCGTACACCTGAGTAACCTTACAATATTGTGCAAAATAACCTGAAACTTTTACTTGCCTAAGTATAGACGTCTTCCCGAGGCAAGCATGTCCACTAGCCTATATAAAAGTCAAGTTTTCACCTTTGCCATTCCAAGACCACTTTTCTGTGAAAATCTGGGTTTAAAACAACACGATCGCTTGTCAAAATTGCACTGAAATTCTTCCAAAAATTAAGCAAGGACAAATATTTTGGAGTAGTTCTATGTTTTCAATCTACTTGTCCAAGTACTTTTATGTATACGAGTGCAAACTTGTTTCTTTAAGAACACTTATCGCAGTGACTGATATGCAGTGCTTTTTTGAGATAACTCCTGAACGTTTCATGTTACTGCGATGTGCAGTGTTACTTAATACCATGTAGCCTGTATGCTTCTATTATTTAAAGCCAAATGCATCAAGAAAAAGTATCTAAGTATCTTTAATGTGGTAATTTGTCATTTTGTTTGTCAGTGATGAAATGTCAAATCTTTTCATTATGTTATGATATCAATCAGGTGTAAAGCCAGTTATTTGGGGGTCACATTTTCATCACAATGGACACAACTCATGTTCTACCTGATCAAGCCAAGAAAAGTTGGCTTGGAATGGCAAGGGTGGAAACTAGGCTTTGATATACACCTCTGAAGATGATGTACAGATAATGCTTGAGGACATCCTCTTTAAGCGTGAAATTCTACTGACATACCACTAGTCTACAACTTTATACACCAGTCCAAAGCCCCTGTCTTATTCAGTCCTATAACAGTATTGTATTTTATGTTTTATTGTAAGAGTTTTAATTTACAGTAGACTCTGTGAAATCCGACACTGCTAGGGACCAGGTGAAAATGTCGGATTAGACAGTTTCATGGCTGAATGCACATTCAATGATTCACTCAGTTCATAATTCAGCCTTTCAATTAAGGATACAATTAAGGATTAACACTTGGGTTGCACCAAGTATGAAATGTTAATTGGTTCATTGTAGATTAATCCTTGTTGAACATTAACTGGGTGTTTATTGAAGGTTATATACTAAATACATGTACTAATCTTCAGCTAACAATGCATATTATAAAAACAATGCAACCACAATTGAGTATTCTATGAATGTTTCTGTGTTGATGTCGGATTACACAGCGGATGTGCTCATTGGACCACAAAACAGTGTCGGAAATCAGAATAGGCAGATGTCAGATTACACAGTTTTATATATGTTAATATAAGGGTCTGTGCCGGGACCAACACTTTTTGTCAGATAACAGTCTACTGTAGTTTGTTGAGCTTCTGTTTTATGGTTGTGATTAAGATCCCATTTACCCATTTGTGACTAAAACTTAAATTCAGACAAGCAGAGATTAGCACCTTACTCGACAATACTTATGGATTATCCAATAATCTCTTCTCACTTTTCAGATGACATCAAGTGACAAAGATTTCCGATTTATGGCAACAAATGACTTGATGGCCGAACTTCAGAAGGATTCAATCAAGCTTGATGATGATAGTGAGAGGAAGGTGGTCAAGATGCTGCTGAAACTGTTGGAGGATAAGAATGGAGAAGTCCAAAACCTTGCTGTCAAGTGGTATGTCATGTTTTCACCGGAATTTATGGCAACATTACAGTTTACCTTAGAGAGCTTAATAGCTCATGCTGACACCCTTGCTCACTGATCTCAGTGCCTCTTCGATCCTCAGAGTTTGTGTTAGGATTATGGTATTTTACCCCCAACTCTATCCTTGGCTCTTGGATCCCCATTCCTATCTGGCACCCCTTTACGACAATTAGGGTTAGCATGGTTACGTATTCCTTTCCGATCAAGCATTCCTTCACAATACTAAAGGTTGGGCACCCTTTACGATCCTTTGGGTTAGTTGTGAGTTAGAGTATGGGTTAGCTTTCTCTTTTAACAAATTAGTCCAATGTTCAAATTTCGGGGGTAAACAATCAGGTAGTGATCACTGGAAAACAGGCACTAATTTTTGTGTTAGTTCCATGCTGAAGTGTTGGCTAATTGGATTTACTGAGTAGCTGAGCTTAATTTCTGTAGCGTGTACCATGATATGGATTTCCTTATATCAATTTGTATTATCAAAAGAATTCCCAGTGAGTCTTGGCGAAAGTGTACATGTATCTAATAGTGCCTTTAAAACCAATGAAGAATCTCTTGTTTTTGTTATGGTTTTCAGAAGATTGTTTAGGAAATAGGTGTGTACCTATAAAATAGGTGTCTACCTATTAAAATAGTATTTTACACAGATAAGGAGCTTATCTGGAGCTCTGCTTTACACATGACGTACTGTTCATCTTGTCTCCTGTGTAGAAGTTGGGGGAGGGGAGGTCAAGTTTGGGATCATTTCAAGTTTCAAAGATGTAATGGTGAAGGAACCAAGAAAAATCTGCCACAATATGTGGGATGTGTATATTATGAACATTAAAGAGTGAAACAAAGTTTCACAAACATTAACAGAGAAGTCTTTTAAGAGAGAGAAGACAATTTAAGTCAATCTTGAATACAGCAGTCATGAAGCCCACTCTGTCCACTATTGGCCCGGCACCCATGCACTTGAAACCAAGAAGCCTGAGGAAGGGCAACCCATTGTAGAAGGGCAACCCATTCTTCCTGAAGAGCGCGGTGTTATTGCTGCAGATGCTGTGGCCCTGTTTGATGTAATCACCAGCCTAGCCCATCCCAGAAAACTTAATTCGGTTGAGATTCAGTGATTTCTGGAGGCCTGGGCAGTACATTTATGTTCTGATCTCTCAAACATTTTGTACACTCATGCTGTGTACACACAAGCATTGTCATGCTGACAAATGGCACCTGGAGCATGCAGATTTTGGGCAATGCGAGAATGTAAGATCTCGTCAAGATAACGCACACCTGTTAAGTTGCCCTGGATATGAACAAGATCTGTTCGAAGCCAATGAGAAATGGCTCCTCCACCAAATCTCTTGTATGCAACATCTGATATATTGAGAATCTGACCTGAGTGTCTTCAGCTATTAAATATATAAAGATAAAGAGTTGATAAAAGCTACAAATAGCATATATTTACTTTATCAACAAGTCTTGATACATTTGAGCTTGGAAGACTCAAGACAATATTTTATTTATCATCCAAAATCATTCCTTCAACTTTATCAGTAATAACTAGTGTCTTGAGTGTAAACATTCCTGCTAGCACTGTGATTTATCTAGATCTGCTCAAATGCTGATATTTAGCCCAAAGTCTGCAGCTAATGTCAGTAAGAATTCCCAAATTGGAATTAATAATTTCCCAATTCATGTTCTGTAGTTATAGTTATGGCTTTGTAGAGGTAACTTGTATATCACTGACAAAAGGGCCAATAAAGTGGAAGAGCCATTAATGCTCAGTTTTACATTATCGCACTGAATGCAATGTTAAGTACCTCCGAATTTAGGAACATTAAAAACTTTTTAAATAATCCCAATTTTGAACAAAATAATGTTTTTGCCCCAATTTGCCCGCCATTGGCACTTTGTTTAGAATCCTAGATAAATCCCTATAACTTGCTTCAGTGGCAGAGAGATTAGTGAGCGTTATTGACATGCCTTACCACTGATGCTTGTGATTCACCAGCTTCAACACTACAAATAGTTTTATTTCCTGCATTGTCGTTGAATCTTGGCATGACGATTTTCAAAATTTACCGTGAACTGTGAAAACAGTGTCATAAACTTGCCTTAGCAACCAGTGGCAAATTTCATTACTTGCACTTGAAAAACATCATGAAGAATGCATTTGAATTCACACATGATGTACCTTTTGAAATCTGATTGTTCTGAAGTCCAAATATTGTAGATATATTAGTATATATTAATGTTTTTATTTGAAATATATATGATATATGCACTGTGTCAGTTAAATAAAAGGTGAAACCATTTAAATATGGAAATCAATTTTAACAATAAACACGCTAAAGGGATCAGCCTTGTTATATTTATCATCAAATGAATAATTGCAGGTGAACATAGATAATGTTTATCTTTACACATACAGAATCATTAATTTTATTTTCAATCAATATATGGTGATGCTTTTGAGTTGATGTATACCTAAAATTTCCAGTGACGCCCTAAGTGGAAGGGTGAACATGCCCAACAGTCTGACACTTGATGCTTAGTTTCTTGGGCTTCGGTCGTGCTCCTCACTAAATCGAGTTATAAAAACTAAAATCGTGGTGGTGTCTTACAAGGCATGCTAGGCTTGAAAATGTGCCCAAGTTCTCCCATGCAGCTAGGTTTACATGTTAATGTCAACTGTCTTTTCAACTTCCGGTGACTCATAAACATTTTCCAGCTGCTGCATATGGCAAACACGCCGCCTTCTGTGCAAATAAATGACTTAATTGTTGCAAATTAAACAAGAGGGTGAATCTGGAGCAATAGTCATTGTATAATGAACTGTCACTTCTAATTAATTGAAAAGTCCATATTGGTAAGATTTCATTTGATACAGTCAGAGACCCAGCCTCTGATATGGTACACACTTCAGACGGAAGTAAGACAGCGAAATTGAAGAAAGTACTGGAATGTAAATAATATATTTTTTGCCTACAAACTGTAATACCATTTACAACAGTCGCTATTTCATGTCATCACTCTGAATATATTGAATTATGATCTGAACACACATTGTCGAAATTTGATAACTGCAGATTGTTGTCTCCTGCATGCCAATGAAATGAACAGCTGATGGTGGTAAACATGCCTCCTAAACAATCTATAATTGTCCTCGCGAATAATTCCCCATCAAGTCGACAATGAACAGAAATACATAAATATTAGTGTAATTTCTCCTAAAGTAGACAATGAATATTTGGTTTATACTTCTGCTAATATTTTTAAATACCCTGTACTTGTAAGTTGTATTTGCAGTGGAATAATTAATGTACGAAAAAAGGATATCTGAGGATATATCTAAATAATCGAGTAATGTTACTTGCAACATTATTTGAGTCCCAAGTACCAAAAATCAAATACGGTTTCCCCACTGTGAAGATGAAATATCTCTGAAAATTAGCAAAATCTCATCACACAACAAAAAATCTCATTGCTTTTGGGCCAGGGGAGATTTTCTCTCATAGGTAAAAATTTCCAGGCAAATCCCTATACATGATTTGGTGAAGTCAGTGTGAACACTTCCAGAACCTAACAGGCAGTTTGAGTAGTATGGTGCTCAGGTAACTGTTGATGTAATTTGAGTTCAAACTAATCTATTTGCCGGGGTAATGATTGTGTACTGTTATAAGCATGCTTAAGGCATGGATATGGTGTAGTCTTTGCATTCATTGTCCTGCCACGTTCCCTGCATTGGCACAGATTAATATGAAATGCATAAAAAAATAAGATCGTACACATGACATGGCCCCCACAGCAGATATGCATAACACATAATTAGGAAGATCAGGAAGTAATTCAGCTGTGTTTCAGGGTTTTATACACATAATAATTTTAAAATATCCACTGCAAGTCCAAGAGAGTGGATGTTTGACTTCTTCCTAGATTGAAGGGAGTTAACTGATTACAAAAGTCCCGTTTCAACCATTGCCGAGCAAGGCTGGAATTTCTGAGTTATTTTTTGGCTGGACTATGGAGTCTATTCATAGTTGAATCAAAATCACATTACGAAATTAACATCCTGTTCGTTAACAACATGGCGACTACCATAAAAATTTTGGTTCATTTGCAAATCATGTGTACCTTCAACTTGGAATTGACAGACATTTTCCAAATCTTTTCAGGTTTTTAATCAACAAACTGAAGTGTTGTGCTAAAGTCCACATGCACTGGCCTGGGTGCCTGTGAAAACTTTTTTCAATAAACTTAATCAGATCGCCTTGACGGAGCACCACCATTTTGTTAGAAGCATAATTGCAAGTGGTAGGAGAGGTGGAAAATTGGATGTTGGAATGATTTGCACTTATTGAATTGTGTTAATGTATATGTGATATTCGTTGTGTATGTAAGATCTATGTGATATTTCTGTTCTGATAACAAGTGCAATTGATGTTTGGACATGACTGGATTGACTGGTCAAGACACAGTTATTTATAAGCCGCAAACATGTGTCTTGAATATTGCTTAGTGTGGCGTTGAACAACAGACAACCATCAAATATAGCTGCTTATTATCTGGCTGATGTTGAAATGACATTCACTGCTTTCAAAGATGGATAAAACTTGTCTTCAAGTTGTCACGTTTTAATTCCAAAGAGCACACCCGAACATCTATATGAGTGCACTATTGCACACTTAAAAAACTACTGTTCTATCCGTATCTTTGACAGTGGGTAGATGACAGTTTCTTGTTCTATTCCAGTCTTGGTCCCCTTGTGAACAAAGTGAAGGAGTTTCAGGTGGAGACCATCGTGGACACACTGTGCAGCAACATGCTGTCTGACAAGGAGCAGCTCAGGGACATCTCAAGCATAGGTATGCAACTGATAAAAGAACAAAGAAGTCAGATTTGTTAAGGAGATAAACATCTCTGTTTTCATGTCCAGTAAACTAAGGTTATGGCAAACTCAAAGGGACCACTAATTTTAGTTCATTATAATCGTAGTTCATTATAGGCATATATACAGCATATATACAGCATATATACAGCATATATACAGCAAATGGCAGGGGCAAAAAGGCCAGTTCACTATATCTGTTAGTTCGTTATAAGTGTGTTCGTTAAACGTAGTTTACTGTAATAGGTAACCAAGCTCTACATGGAAAACACAGTATGTTTAGCTGCATTCTACCACAAGATAATTAATGCGAGCTCTCGGTGGCCCAGTCGTCTAAGGCACTGCGATTGTCTATGCAAAGTTGTGTCCTTGGACACGCCAGAAACCTATGATTGTGGGTTCGAATCCCTGTTCCCCCCCCCCCCCCAATTATGTTTCTAGGTTTGTCTAGATTTGGAATAATGACAATCATGAAAATAGAAGTGAACACAGTGAACATTAAGGTAGAATAGATGGCAACATAGTAACAGTATAAAAATAACAATGGCAACCTAGAGCATTCACTATCTAGTAAAATGTAATGTGATGCCTATTAGAATGTTGGATATTATGATCTAAACTGAAAAAGTTGGAAGAAGGATGTTGGATGATAAATAGAATCTTACCCTTGTGTCTTTTGATATCAAATACCGGGGTATATCAAGAATCGTTGATAAAAGCAGAAAAACTTGTATTGAAAAATTTGATATCAAAAGACACTCGGGTGAGATTCTCTATATATCAGCACTTTACCTATTAGGGTTTGTACAGTTGTAAGTTTTTATGTCATGTATAGTCATTGACATGATTGAAGTACAGTGATCGCTCGCTATTGCGCTACCAATGGGGTCCAAATAATTGGTGGGCGTTATAGACGATGAGCCGTTTAACCGAGGCCGAGGCGGGGGAGCGCGCTCGGGAAATCTCAAATCATCAATAGGCCTATGTGTTTATCTCACGTCACGTCAAAATAGTATATATTTTTATGGACCTAGATCTACCTGTAATATCATTCATTTATTAAATCTGTCATATTTCACAATGTCTGAAATACGTATTCCATCCTAATTTATCATTTTTTATCAATAAATTAAAAAATTATTCACTATTTCCCGCGATGTTATTGAAAATAAAATTCTCGGACACACATTTCGACAACGGGTCCGCATCGAACATGTCAAAGAGCAAAATAAAGACTATTTTAAGCAAATCTTTAAATATATTATACAAAGTGATAAATAAAATCAACTAAAAGTAATCAAACTTACATCTAAGTTATTATTTCCATCGTTTCGTGCGATCGCGTGTAATGTAAGTCAAATGATATCTCGGCTTTCGTCGCCTTGAATTCTCGGCTCGGACACAACGATTAATGCAAAAATATATGCATGAAAAATCTTTGTCACAGCTCGTAACCTAGCACGATACATTCGCGAAGTTCCATATTTTTAATATATATCGTGATTTCCTGCTTAAAACGTTCAGAATAACACGATTTAACAAAAAATCTTTCGCTAACTTCTGAAATTTATCAAACACGAGCTTGGTATCACAGCTTGATTGGCTGCCTGAGGTCACGTGCTCAAAATTGACCAATCACGAAACTTGTAGCAGATTTCGGCAAGAAAGCGTCATTAGAAACAAATTTTAATCCAATGAAATCGCTTGTTATAACTACGGGGAAAAACAGGCGATGTTACGAAAGCGCGATTACGAAATGAATGACCGCCGTGTTGTGACAGCAACTACATGTGTGTGACAGTTTAGCCTTAAATTGGATTGCCCACTAATTAAGAATATAAACTTCGCTTGTGGTTCTCTTTTATTGCATGCATGCGCTTCTAAGATCAAAGGATGTATAGTGTGAAAAGTTAACTAGTTGAACAATCGTATTTCCGGGACTTGCCGCGGATGTTTTCAAACAGATTATTAGAACTCCATTCAGCGATAAACGGTTGATTATGCAATGAGAAGCGTTATGTGCAAATGAACAACGAACAACAATACAATTATGTCTGTGTAAAACTCTCAGTAATAATAGTGTACATAAATTTTGGGAGCCATGCGTTACCGCGCGTAATAACCGAAGTAGCGCTTTATCGAAGAGCGCAATAGCGAGCGATCACTGTAACTATAACAATTTACCACAGGACTTAAGACTGTGATCAGTGAACTGCCACCATCATCGACAGCGTTGGCAGCCAGTATTTGCAAGAAAATCACCAGTAGATTAACAAGTGCTATTGCCAAAGTAAGTGATTTTACAAGCTGATTTTTACTTTGTGAAGCTGTTAATATGACTAGTGACATTAAGAAATTAGCCTTCAGTCTTGTTTCTATTGACTTTCACATTGTTTGTTGTGATAGATGTATCTTCTCTCATTATCCTTTACCGTGTTTAGTAAAGTTTTGTCACATGAACAGTCTTACAGGCTTCAAAGAGCCCACTAGTCTGAGACTAGTACAATTCCGAAGGACTGGTGACATTTCCTTGTGGACTATCACTTTTACCGCTGAGTAGATGGCAGCTCAGTAACAGATAGTTTTTATGGACTTATGAAATATTGATTAATTTCCTGTCCGCAACTTTAACCATGAGTTCGAAGCCAGAGTCCAATAGATTTCAGTTTGGTCTAGTAATGGCAGCAATTAAATAGTCCATACGATAAGACTAAAATAAAAGGAAAAATGCTGACAAGAGCCATGTTCTGACTACCAAACTTGAACATTTTTGGCACAAACTGAATTTATAACCATTAATAATCTTTTGATATTGTAATGACAAATTTGCATCAGTTGGTTATGGTCAACTGCTTGAGGTGTGAATAAATTATTATGTCTTCTTACAGCAAGAAGATGTTTCTGTACAGCTAGAAGCCCTAGACATACTTGGAGATCTACTTAGTCGATTTGGAGGTTGGTAATTTCATGTTTCATAAGAAAGTGTTTGAAAACACTATTTACCCTGATTTAACTGCAATAATATATTTGACATAAAATATCTTAGTCAATAGTGTCGGCGAAACCGCATTATCAGTGGTTCATATTGGGAAAGGGAGGTCACTCTAATTTCAAACGGGAGCTATCTCCGTTGTTTTCGTATTTGCGAGAAATGGCGTCACCCACGCTGCACGTTGTTGGTCCAGCTATTAAATGCCCAGCTTATCCCTGAGGTAAAACGTAAGGTAATTAAATGTTTGAATGCATTATATATTTATGTTTCCATCAGTACATCTTCTAAGATTGGTTTAGTGGTGATAACCACTTTCTAAAATGTGGGCCCACATTTTTCCCGTCATCTATGGTGATCGAAACAAGTGGGCCCACATTTGTATTTCGCCTAGCTTCGTTAGGTTGTTTCGTTAGTTCTGATAATCAATCCCTAAATGTGGGCATACGTTCTTCCGTCATATTGATTGCAACAGGAGGGACCACATTTATTAATCGCGAAATTCTACTTAAATATTGATAATCATTTTCTCAAATGTGGGCCCACATTGTTCCCGTCATATATGGTGATCGAAACAAGTGGGCCCACATTTGTATATCGCCTAGTGGGTAGACGTTCTTCCGTCATAGTGATTGCAAAATGAGGGACCACATTAAAAAATCGCTAGCTTCATTAGCTTTGCTTACTTATAACCATTTTCTAAAATGTGGGCCCACATTGTTCCCGTCTTATAGTGATCGAAACAGGTGGGCCCACATTTTTAAATCGCTGGGTTTCATGAGGTTGACGAAGTCATTTAGGCTATTGGGCTCACGTTTGTCATTATGTGACATTTTATATTATTCATATTTTGTAATATTGATGGGAAATATCTTTATAAATCATTTCGTGTGACATTAATTCCATAAAAGGCACAAAAGTCTTTGAAGTTTGAATAACTGCGTCATAGCTGACCACACTAGTTTTACAAAAATAGCTACCAAGCAAGAAACTTAAATCTACTTCAAATTAAAATTACAGAGGCAATACCACTCATTCTACCTTTTCCAGTATAACACACCAATCTAATCATAAGTGTTGGTGGCGATATAAGCCTGAACATATGTCTACACTTGAATTGATCTCGGACATGATACAAGCCTCAGACGTTTCCGAGAACTTGTTCCATAAAAGGAATAACTCATGAATATTAATAACCCCACGACCTAGTTGGCGATGTTCGTAGAAGTGAGTTCTGCTGTATTGCCATCTGATTTGTACATTTTAATCCAATTATAAGTCATAATACTTATTTTAAATAGACAAATTATGAGTTCGTTATGCGGGTTTGTTTACGTAGTATATGTTCTCAACAAGAAGTGCGTTTAGTTTCGAATGTGGGCCCACCTCGAACTTTCGATTAGGCAAACGGAGTTAGCTCCCTTCTCGAACCACCGATAATGCGGTTTCGCCATAGTGTCTGCAGTAATGAGTATATGATGTTATCAAGTTGTGTTTATCACTTTGCCTTCATTCTTGTCTTCATGTTCCATTATCTACAACTACATTGCAGGGTTGCTGGTGACATTCCACAGCTCCATACTGCAAGCCTTGCTGCCGCAGCTGTCAAGCCCTCGACTGGCAGTCAGGAAGCGAGCCATCATTGCTATAGGTACAACTGGCTTTCTTAAGTTAAGATATAATGAAGTTTGCTCTTAAATACATACAAGGCAAGATTTACTGGGGCAAATTGATTGACAATTGAAAATTTGAAACTTTTTCAAAAATATTTCTTGTCTTAATTGTTGGAATAATTTCAAATTGCAAATTTGACATGCGATGACAAGCAGCAGCCATTTTTTTGGAACCTTGATCTTGATTTTGATTTTGTAAATGTTCTCTGATAGGACTATCAATATTGGCACAGAAAAGCCTTGAAAGGGCTATGGTGATTACTAGACTTTGATGTAGGCTTATGGACACGCTTGCTTCGGGAAGATGTTGCCGACCATGTTGATGCTGTTTTAATTTTCTGGGCATCACTTTGTACACAGGTTCTGTACTACTTGCCAATGAGTTAAAAATGAGCATAAATATATACAAGGATGAGAATCTTCCGCGGATCCGCAAATTTCTGCAAATTTTAGTGACTACGAATTCCATTCTCACCCGTTTATATTTATGACATGATAAACCTAGTTAACAGAAATAGATTTGATCTTGGCATTCTGTAGGTCTATCTGATTGGTCTGTTACTGAAGATGAAGTTTGTTATGATGTTTGACTTTGGTATGATTGATTACTCAATTGAAAATACATGTTACCCATTTTAGAAGTTGGGAGGGTTAAATGACCAACCCCAAGATGGCACACTGACTGTTCTTTTCTTGTTGGTAGAGTTTACGTGTAGTTTTCTTCTTTGCAGGTCATCTGGTAATGAGTTGTAATAACCAGCTGTTCCTGGAGCTGATCGAGTTCCTCCTCACCGAGCTGTCCAAGAACACCTCCACTTCCACCACCAGAACATACATACAGTGTATTGGAGCCATCAGGCAAGTCAAACAAAACTATTAGTGTCCTAGCCTCATATACCAGTAATTTGTATATTTAGGCACTTGTTAGGGGTGGATCAAGTAATGCATGCCGACTCAAATCAGTTATTTAAATCCTTATTCTGTGCGCAACTTAACTCACTATTCCAAAGCCAGATTGTAGTATAATTTTGTCCTGTCCAACTCATGATAGTCCATACATTACCGGTTGCATTAAAATGTCCTGAAAATAGAGCAAAGAGACATGTTTTGAGCTGATCTTGTTTTGTCACTGACATGATTGACATGATTGACAAACGTTTCCTCATTTACCTGTGATTATTAGACTTTGTCTCACCAATATTGTTAGGAGATACTTGTATGGCAAGACATTTCTTACTCATTATTAAAGCTTGATGACATTGGATAAAAAATAAAATCTCACCCTCTTTGATATCAACTATATCACCCCTTGTCTATAATAGCATAGAACTTTAGCAAGCCTCACAGTTTTGCTACTTTAATTGACCTGTGTTGATGTACTTAATATCAAAATGATGTAGTTCTCCGTTTCTCGGCCAAGCCACTGATATTGCATGATTGAATTTTATGATAATTTGTTTGTTATTTTAATGCGGCTGTTAGGTCATGTACCAAATACCAGTAAGACTTTTATGGAGGAATCCCACTTTCTACTTTTGTTTTGTCATCAATATTTTCATCATTTGAACTTCCAGTCGACAAGCTGGCCACAGGTTTGGAGAGCATCTTGAGAAGATTATTCCTCTGATTGTGAGGTTCTGTAAAGAAGATGATGATGAACTGAGAGAATATTGTTTACAGGCATTTGAGTCCTTTGTGAGAAGGTGCCCAAAAGAAGTGTCACCATTTATCACAGAGGTATTTCTTTTCCAAATACATAACCAGTAACATTTGAACTTGAAACTATTTATTTAACCAATTTAGAGTTTGTTTTCATGTATGACTGTTTGTAGTGTACAATTACCAGTGTTAGAAACATTGTTATGATCAGTGAGTTGGGTTTAACACCACTTTTTAACAGTATTTCAGTTATATCATGGTGTGTCAGCTTCATGTTGGGGGAAGCCAAACAGGATGCAGACTTTTACCATTTTGTTAAACCTGCTAAGACATGTATGGGGCTGAAGAAAATTAGCAGCATTATTAGGGTGATGAGGATTTAAACCCACTTCAGTAGGTTTTTGGCATGCATAAGGGAAGCAACTTTGTAAATGGATTAACAGTGACTATTCAAGTTATCAGTTTGTGGTGAATATTTGAATCCGACATTGGTCCAAAGTATAATGACACAATGTTTACATTTATCAATCCCCAGATCATCACAATCTGCCTGCAGTATATCTGCCATGATCCCAACTACAACTATGATGATGATGATGAAGAAGCCATGGACACTGAAGCTGAAGAAGAGGATGAAGAGTAAGTTGAAGTGTTTCTTTGTGTCTCATGAAAATAGTCAGACTTAATGTTGGCATGTGGCACGCGGACATCCCAGGGATCTCCTACCTTTTCTATCTCCTTATTCGCACTGGGAATTCTTTTTGACACATTGACCTGTCATGTCAAGGTCATCGTCAATGTCATAGTTTGAAGAAATGTTTGTTTAATAAACAATAGCTCAAGAAGGATTTACTGTAGGTCAAATGAACTTGGTAGATGTCATTCTTAGGGTGGTGCCCAGATCAGAAAAGGGTAATGAGTGACCTTAGTGTGAGGTCAAGGTCCCCATGAAGGTCATTTATAAAGTATGTTTACCATTCTCACTAAACTGTCAACTTGCTGCAGATATTTTTATGGTCTTTTGTATGTAATGTTATTTCATTTGACTATTTGGTTATGACAAGTGATAAGGAGACAAATAATGTTTGTGGTACGTCACTATAACCTACTTTCAATGACAAGCTGTTGTTTCATTGTTATGTTCACTTCCACAATGGGACAATATGTCTGGCTTATGTGCTGGATAATCCTTACTTGTCACTGATATTAGAGGTCCATGAAATGTAGGGCATTAAATTGGTGAGGGTTTGAGCTACCTTCATTGAATGTCGTTTGTAAAGGTCACTGGAATGATCACTCGTAAGGTCTAATTCTCTGTGTACTGAACCAACCCCCTGTCGTTGTCATGGGTACAATGTGTGAAGCCCATTTCTGGTGTCCCCCGCCGTGATATTGCTGGAATATTGCTAAAAGTGGCGTAAAACCAAACTCACTCTGTCGTTGTATTAAATCTTTGTAATAGCAAGCAACCATGTTTTCAACTAGAAATAATCGAGCAAAATAGGAAAAAACATATTGCTTTCATGGGACTCTGTTTTGCAGTTGTCTTGCATTAGTCATGGGTTTTCCCAAACTCGAAGTGATGTCATTAAAGTGGAAATCTTGGAAGTGCTTATAATTTTGTTAGACTTTCTCTTTCCAAATTGGACCAGCTTTTGGCCCCTTTCGCTGGAGGTGCATATAACTCTGTTATTAAGGTAGTTAGAGGGCACACTTTGGGTCTTTGAAGAAAAGAGGGAATGGGGCGGGTTCTGTTTTTGCATGTCATGCAAACACTTCTCTAGTTTCACTGCTGCATCTTCTTTCAGAGGTTCAGAGGAGGAATACAGTGATGATGATGACATGAGTTGGAAGGTGCGCAGGGCAGCTGCAAAATGTCTTGATGCCATCATGGGCACTCGACATGAGATGTTGATCGACTTCTACAAAACTGTGTCCCCAGCCCTCATACTCAGATTTAAAGGTGCATTATTGTCACAGCCTTGTTTAGTATGTAACAAAATAGGAGTATTTCAATGTGTTGACTCCCATTGAGACTCTGGTAGAGAAGAGGTACACAGGACCCCATTCATGTCCAAGAGTCATCTAATGAGGATAGGTTGTGTGACCTGGCTGATAGTGTTTCATTGTACCTAAATGGAAGGATCATGCTGTCAACCATGCTATTTTTTTTAGGGATAGATCACTCGCATACCAGTGTGGTAGAGCGGAAATACTGCAGAGGACATCCCATTACCTGTCGCATCTGAACGACCTTTTGAGAACTTTGACCAACCAATGAAATGACTAACAGGAAAAGTCAACATTAGCCATTAAGAAAACAGGTTTCTTGTGCTTTGCGGCACTAATTTCAAGCTGGCGACTTCCATTCCAGACTACGCTTTCAGAAGTATTTTGGATCAGTCATACAGCCTGTATTCATAGAGTTTGGAATACAGTGTTAAGCTTTTCGAGGTTGCATGATTAGAAAATATATTTTAACGGTATAACAAAACATGATATGCATATTTCCTTTTTTAATTATTTTACTGCAACAAACATATATCATTATCCATCGTGTTGTCTGATAAATTCAATCACAAACTTTGATACTTCTTAGTTTTGTTTATATTCGTTATTTGTTAATGCAGCATAATCATATGCAAACACCCACGTAACGGGACTTGACTGTACGTAATGATAATCTGGACCTGTTACAGAGAGAGAAGAGAATGTGAAGGCTGACATCTTCCATGCCTACGTTACACTATTACGCCAGACTCGCCCTCAGGCCTCCGCCAACCCAGACTCTATGGAACAGGAAGATGGGTAAGAATAACTCTTATTCTTTATCTGAAAGTAATGTGTAAAAGTTACTTCATTCTACTTGCACCTTACCTTGAAATGACTAAAATGCAAAAATAATCCAGTGGTATTGAACTATATATATTTGATCATCCTAATAAATAGGTGTTGTTTTCCAGCCCACTGACTATGCTACAGACTCAGGTTCCAGATGTTATCAAAGCTATCCACAAACAGTTAAAAGAGAAGAGTATCAAGACTCGCCAGGGTTGCTTCAGCCTCCTCACAGAGCTGGTGCTGGTTCTCCCTGGGGCTCTCACAGACCACCTCACAGCTTTAATCCCTGGCATTCAGTATTCACTCGGGTAGGTGGAACCTTTCATATAAACCTCCAGTGACACCATGATTTTGTTTTTAAGGGGGCCTTCATTTCATTGAATAACTTCTCAGCAGGGACTCGCTGCAGAATATACCTCTGCACTGTACTTCTGGACCAAGGTTATTCTGAAGAAAGTACTTCTGGACCAAGGTTATTCTAAAGAAAGTACTTCTGGGCCAGGGTTGTTCTGAAAAAAGTACTTCTGGCCCAGGGATATTCTATGTGTAGGAAAAACCATGTCTCCCTCACCTGAAGGTTTACAATCTCTAGTAATCTCAAGGAGACATGGTTTGTCCAACTTATAAACCGACTCATCGCATAGAAGTTTTTAATAAAATAACTGTAATAAAAACTCTCAAATATATAACCTGTATAGGAGATGAAATATCGCCTGCAGTCATGAACTCGTCTCGTAATGGCACGAAACCTGCACGTGCGTCTCGTAGGCTGTTTGTTGTTTTGGTTCTATGAAGGGTTTACAATGATTGTAAGCCCTCCTGCGAGGTGTTACAATCATTGTAATACCTCCTGCGAGGTGTTACAATCGTTGTAATACCTCCTACCAGGTGTTACCACAATTTCAAAAACTCCATATCGAGTTACACAAACAGCCAGTAGGTTTATAAGGAAAGTTCTTCTGGCATAGGGATATTCCAAAGAAAGTACTTCTGGCCCAGGGATTTTGCATAAAATGTCCCTTGCCAGAGATATATTTTGCATTTGAACACAATCTACTTCACAAATTGTGTGTCTTCGTTATGTTTCAGTGGATCAAACTTGAAACCTCGGTGTCTGTAGCCTTGTGTGTGAACCACTGGGCTACAGAGGCGCTGATATACCACAATCCTTTTAGGAATCCCTTTTTCAAGTAATTGTATCCCAGCAAAAGTTTGTTTCTTTGACATTGAGAATATTTGAACTTCTATTCTTAGTGACAAGAACACAAGTTCCAACATGAAGATTGATACTCTGTCTTTCCTGAACACCATCCTGCTTCACCACCCACCGGCAGTGTTCCACCCACACATCCGAGTTGTTGTGCCGGTTAGTATATGCTTGGATAAACTTTGTGGGAGTCTGGGAATAGGTCTCAAGGAAACTATGCTGGTCGTAAGAGGCGACTTAATGGATAGGATGGTCAGGCTCTTTGAATCAGTTGGTTGCTGTCATCATACACTTATGGTGTGTATTGTTGCTCATAATATCAATCACTGGGTTGCCTGGCCCAGACTCGATTATTTACAGGCTGCCGTCATAGCTGGAATATTGCTGAGTGAAGCGTTAAACAACAAAACACTGGGTCAAACCCATCCTCACTTAACTTGCCATGCTTACTGTATATGTGTGTCATTTTTGGTGTTTTGGGGATGGAACAGGCCCCCAATATCTCATGCTTGTAAGAGCCAGTTACAATAAGAATCATGACTTACAGTATGTCATGTTACACTGATGGTACTCAAACTATCATCCACTAGTCTGCCTGGCCCAGATTTGATTACCAGCTGATTATATAAAGGACTGGAATATTTCAACCTTCAACATTGACAACTTTCCACTCGTGTTTCCAGCCCTTTGAAATATCTTGAGGGTGGTTCCCATGCCAACAATGTTAATCACTGCTAAACATATACCATCACACACAATCTTATTATGTATGCACATTCTTTCAGGGCATTCTTTTCTGATCTTTTGTTTGTCACAATGAAAGAGACTTATTTTCTTGATGAATTGAGTAAATAAAAAATTACCAACTCCTTCCTTCTGGGGTAGAATAGGTCTTCAGCAACCCATATTTGCCATAAAAGGCGACTATGCTTGTCGTTAAAGGCGACTAACGGAATCGGGTGGTCAGGCTCACTGACTTGGTTGATACATGTCATCGATCCCAATTGCGTGGATCCATGCTCGTGATGTCAATCACTGGATTGTCTGGTCCAGACTCGATTAATTTACAGACCGCCGTCATATAGCTGGAATATTGCTGAGTGCGGCGTTAAACAACAAACAAACAAACAAACAAACAAACCCCTTCCCTGCATAAATAGTTGATGCCAAACACCCCTTTGAAAATGAGATTTTGAGGCAAATTTCATTTTATATAACACTTTCCTATTGTGACAAAAGTCATGACAACTGTTTTTGTTCCAGCCGATAGTTCATGCTGTCGGAGACCCCTTCTACAAGATCACCTCAGAGGCTCTTCTGGTCACCCAGCAGCTGGTCAAGGTCCTCCGGCCACTAGGTATGATTCCTATTATTTACAATGATGTTATGATGCAGTAACTTCCTAGGAAAACATTCATGTTGGTCTAGACTTGCTCATAATCAGCGGGGAAAAACAACTTTTTCTTTCATTAACCAGTCCCATGGGTATGCACCATGTGGGGATTCTGTATTAGAATTGGTCTTCAGCAACCCATGCTTGCTGTAAAAGGTGACTATGCTTGTCGTACGAGGCGACTAACAGGATCGGGTGGTCAGACTTGCTGACTTGGTAGATGCATGTCATCGATCCCAATTGCATGGATCGATGCTCATGGTATTAATCACTGGATTGTCTGGTCCAGATTATTTACAGACCGCCGTCATATAGCTTGAATATTGCTGAGTGCGGCGTTAAACAAACCATCAACAACAATTACTGGATTGTGTGGTCCAAATGTGATCATAACAGGCAGTCGTCATATAACTGGAATAATCCTGAGTGTTACATCACACAACAAACACATTAGGTTGCTTTGATCTTTTGACTGAGTTTGACGGCTTTAGGGATCAAAGCTGAATATAGATATTTGTGAGATCAGCAGTCTCCAGATTTTGTATAGCCCAAGTAGTTTGTGATCCATTTTTCTGATGGACAACTTTTGGAATATTCAAGAAAAGGTGGATGTGGGTGCTGCTTCTGTTGTAAAGTGAACACCGGTCCCAAACTTGCAAGTGTATTAAGAGTAAAACAACTTGTCTAACTTGTTTAAAATGTGGCAAGGCCAGCCCTCACCAATGATATGTATCTGAAAATGTCTTTGTTTCAGAAACCCAGGTGTCATTTGACTACAAGCCTTATGTTAAGGACCTCTATGGTTGCACACTGAAGAGGCTCAAGGCTGCTGACATAGACCAGGAAGTAAAGGAGAGAGCCATTTCGTGCATGTGAGTTGATGACATATGGGGCTCTTAAATCTATTAAGAATGGGTTAAAACTATTCCTCTTTTGTCCCCTTGCAATATCCAAGGTAGAATTCCCAGTAACCTGTTCTTTCTGGTTCAGGCAGCTAAATGAAAGTTTGTCGGACTCAGTGGCTTGCTTGATTGTGTGAACAATTCTCTGTGATAGAGCTAGAACATTGCTGACTGCAGCTTTAAGCAACAACTAGATGGTCAGTTTTCACTCTGTGGTAACATGGTGACGTCTAGAACATGTTTAATACTATGACAACCACTGTTGATAATGTGGTTATCGCTGGCCTTGACCTCCAAGTTGTTCATGTTATGTGTGAAAATAAGAGTAATTTTTGTCATTTATTACTTATGGTTTAATGATACTGCGATAAGAGGCCCACAATACAATACATCGATTTACAACCCCTGTATCCTGATACATTACATTACAAGTTATTGGTGAAAAAAACATGTTAAAAATAACACTAACTGTTCAACCACCAGCTTACGCATATTTTCTAGTATTTCCTGGTTAGCTAAAAAGAGCATAACATTCACAGTGCCTCTAGCCATATGATTTCTGCCCTACAATATCCCATTCTTAATTTCTGAAATTTATGAACAAATGATTCAGGGTTGTGATTCACCTGCAAAAAGAGAGAATATCAACTGTATCGCAAACATAGTATCAGGATACGTAACATATTGTGACCCCACTGTATCGTACACATTTATTGTTTACAAGTTATATACAATTAATGAATCGAAGTTGATTTGGTTGCAAGAATAATTTTGAAATTTTAGATAGTTTAGGTGTTCGGGACCATACTGTAAATACTATATGTGTCAACTCACCAGTTCTTGACATGGTTGTGTCTGTGTGGCCAGACATGTTTTTATGGTGGAAAATTAACACTGAATCGTCTTCAGGACTGATGCATTTGTGTCAAATCCTACCAATAGATTCACACAAACTGAGTCTGTAACAATCTTGATGTTTTCCCATGTTATCCCCCACCACGAAGTGGGATGGGGTTATAGGAACAGAGTTTGTCCCTCTGTCCTACCGTCCACCCGCTTCTCAAAGGGACAAAAAAATTTACAAACTATTTAAGTTAGAGAAATTAAATTTTACACACTGATATAACTGGTCATGATCTTTGTCATTAATTACTTATGGTTTAATGATACTGTGATAAGAGGCCCACAAAACAATACATCGATTTAAAACCCCTGTATCCTGATACATTACATTACAAGTTATTGGTGAAAAAACATGTTAATATTAACAGTAACTGTTCAACCACCAGCTTACGCAGATTTTCTAGTATTTCCTGGTTAGCTAAAAAGAGCATAACATTCACAGTGCCTCTGGCCATATGATTTCTGCCCTACAATATCCCATTCTTAATTTTTGAAATTTATGAACAAATGATTCACGGTTGTGATTCACCTGCAAAAAGAGAGAATATCAACTGTATCGCACACATAGTATCATGATACTTAACGTACTGTGACCCCACTGTATCGTACACATTTATTGTTTACAAGTTATATGCAATTAATGAATCGAAGTTGATTTGGTTGCAAGAATCATTTTGAAATTTTAGATAGTTTAGGTGTTCGGGACCATACTGTAAATACTATATGTGTCAACTCACCAGTTCTTGACATGGTTGTGTCTGTGTGGCCAGACATGTTTTTATGGTGGAAAATTAACACTGAATCGTCTTCAGGACTGATGCATTTGTGTCAAATCCTACCAATAGATTCACACAAACTGAGTCTGTAACAATCTTGATGTTTTCCCATGTTATCCCCCACCACGAAGTGGGATGGGGTTATAGGAACAGAGTTTGTCCCTCTGTCCTACCGTCCACCCGCTTCTCAAAGGGACAAATTATTTTACAAACTATTTAAGTTAGAGAAATTAAATTTTACACACTGATGTTACTGGTCATGATCTTATATGAGTTTGAAAATCGGTGTCTTAAGTTCATATTTGACAGAGCCCTTGCTCCGTGCGTTTCAAATTCATTGTCTTGTGTATTCAAGGGTTTATCCTAATTGGAAGATATCTGTAAAGTAAATTTGCCAATTTTAACTTCCCATGTGCATGGTAAAATTAGAGACCCATAAAGATATGGAGTAGACAAGGTCTTCAGCAACCCATGCTTGCCGTAAAAGGCGACTATGCTAGTCGTAAGAGGCGACTAACGGGATCGGGTGGTCAGGTTCGCTGACTTGGTTGATGCATGTCATGATATTGTCAATCCTTGGATTGTCTGGTCCAGCCACGATTATTTGAAGACGGCCGTCATACAGCTAGAATATTGCTAAATGCTGCGTTACACAACAAACAAACAAACAAACAAAAATGATATAATTAGGCCTATATTGATCTTGTGGTTGTAGTAAGAGGAAGACCCTTGGTGTTTTTATTCTTGTTTGTTTATAAGATTTCACTATCGCAGTATGTATGATTGTATCTTTTCCTGTTTTGTTTCAGGGGTCAAATTATTTGTAATCTTGGTGACTCTCTAGCAGCTGAGCTTAGAGAGTGTTTACCAATCTTTTTGGAGAGATTAAAAAATGAAATCACACGCCTGACAACAGTGAGAGCTCTGACCATGATAGCCAAGTAAGTGTTGAAACATGTATGTCTCATCTTGAGTAATTTTCCCAGTGTTTATGTTCTTAAGAAGCTTTTGGTGCTTAGTATCACATAATATAGTGTCTGATTATTGAAACACCCTATGCAAAGTAGCCTGCCTTGTCAAAGATGACAAGGCAAGAGAAATAAGAAAAGGTTATGTTGGGTTCAAGGTCATAGGTGTGGCGAGAGTTGTGGGCTGCCCTAAGCTATTATTAGCATGAGTTATATTTGACAACATGAGTTACAAGCAGGCAGCAAGCAGCAGCAGAACAGCAATGGGCAACTATGTTGCCAGCAGCAAAATACTAAGTTTCTGCAGAAAAGCAGACGTGAATTAAGTTAAGGGTTCTCATCCGCTGCGAACAGAGGGACTGAACAGATTCTCGGTGAAGAGCAGGGACTTGATAATTTTGATGATTACTTGGTGATTAAATAAGTGTTCACATTTGTAGCCAACAAGAACTCGCCCAACTATAACATTTATTGAATAAAGAAGCAAGGTTCATGGTTTGCCCTGTGCCACATATGTAAACAAAATTGGTGAGAGAGAATAGAAATGTGGCAAGAAGGGGGGAGGGTGGGTAGGAGCCAGAAAGTAGAGAATTGCTGTACAAAATTAGGTAGAGAAAAGTTTGACAGAACATAACGGATGATGGTGATGACGAGAAAGAAAGTTCGATGACGTCATAGGAAGTAGAATTATGATGTAAGTGGGGGAAGATTGGAAGAGGAAATGATGTAAAGGGGGTAAACAAAGAGGTGCATTATGGTTTTAATAAACCAGTTTAGTGAGAAGCGCTAAATGAAAATTAAGTAAGAATAAGATATATGGATGAACAACTTCTTTATTACAATGAAGAGCGACGTTACTGGTGTTAGAACCTACACCTTATCGTCCCTCCTAATTGTAAGTTGTTTATCCATATATCTTATCCTTACTTTGTACTCCAACTTCTAAATGCCTCTCAAAGAAGTTAGTCTGATTGGTTTTGTTCATCTGAAGCACTCTTTCTGTGAAGACATGTTTAGAAATGTTGGTCAATTGCAGACATAACTAAACCTTCTCATTTGGGATGTCATCACATATTGCAATATCTAGATAGGTAGTTTTAACTATACACTTTCAGAATAATTGATGTATTTGTTGTCTATACTATATATCTATGCTAAAATGTCCAAAAACACTTACTTCTCATGTCATCTTTGTAAGAGCTGTTTGATTTTGTCTTTTCAGTTCTCCCCTTAAGATTGATATAAGACCAATCCTAGTAAGTATCAGCAAATATTCATACTCTACAATACAAAAGACTTGCTCAGTCTAGACAGTGTTTCGGAGGATATAGGAACAGAGTTTGTCCGTCCATCTGTTCTCATTTCAAAGGGAACAATTTTCTCAAAAACTGTTCTAGTCAGAGAAAGGAAATTTTACACACTGATGTAACTGGTCATGATCTCAAATGAGTTCAAAATTTGATGTCATAAATTCATTGTTTACAGAGTTATGGCCCTTGCTCCATGGTTTTCAACTTTATGCATACTGCGTGAAATAGGGACAAGTGTTCTCAGAAACTACTGAAGTTACATGAATGAAAGTTTGCATGTTTATCTAAGAGATACATCGCAAGACTGAGTTCGACAATTGGTCCGGTCATTTCTTTTTTTAAGAGAGTTCTGGCCCTTGCTCTGTGATTTGCAACTTAGTGCATACTGTGTGAAATGGGGACAAGTTTCTGAGAAACTACTCAAGTTAGCCTACCTAAGCAATATTTATCAAGACTGAGTTATTTTTTCCAGAGAATGTGCCTTTGTATAAGTTTCACATTTAAGCATTTTTACTTATGACATAAAGCAGCCCATGTGCCTATCTCTTCTTAGGCTTTATTGAACTCTTTATGTGCCCCATGAGGGATATGGTGATAATGCTGTTTTCTTGTTATTGTTATCTTTATATTTTTTTCCGTTTCCTTGGAAACAAGTTTGACTTTGACTCTGTTCATATCGATGTGTACATGGAAATACAAAGTTCCAAATCCAAATTCCATGTTATTGTTATGTTTATATATTTTTCCGTTTCCTTGGAAACAAGTTTGACTTTGACTCTGTTCATATTGTTGTGTACATAGAAGTCAAAGTTCCAAATACCAATTCCATGGTATTGTTTTGATAGCTCTATAACTACTCTTTTATACGGACTGACAGATAAGATAGAAATTCTCTCATCAAGTTGGACTTTGTTTAAGTAACAGTCAGATGATTTGTTCTTTCGAATTTGTGGGTGGTGTCGGGATTTGTCTTCTTCTGATGACTCTTTTGTTTTTCAGACTGAAGGGGTTCCCATTTTGGCATCATTCTTGAGGAAAAACCAAAGAGCTTTGAAACTGTGTACCCTGTTGTGTCTAGATGTTCTCGTGAAAAACTATGGTAAGTGTGTTATTGTAGATCTGGAGGCAGTAGTATACTCACAGTACAGATGACATTGCATGACTGGTGTTAACAAAGTCTGCATGGAGATATTGTCTAGCACTGAGATGCATTTTTGGTTAAAAAGTTCGCTTAAAACATCAATCTCTGTCAACCCACCAGTTCTTGACATGGTTGTGTCGTGTGGCCTGACATGTTTTTATGGTGGAAAATTAACACTGAATCGTCTTCAGGACTGATGCATTTGTGTCAAATCCTACCAATAGATTCACACAAACTGAGTCTGTAACAATCTTGATGTTTTCCCATGCTATCCCCCACCACGAAGTGGGGTGGGGGTATAGGAACAGAGTTTGTCTGTCTGTCCTGCCGTCCGTCAGCTTGTCAAAGGGATAAATTATTTTACAAACTATTTAAGTTAGAGAAATGAATTTTACACACTGATATTACTGGTCATGATCTAATATGAGTTTGTCTTAAGTTCATTTTTGACAGAGCCCTTGCTCCGCGCGTTTCAAATTCATTGTCTTGTGTATTCAAAGGTTTATCCTCATTGGATGATATCTGTAAAGTAAATTTGCCAATTTTAACTTCCCATGTGCATGGTAAAATTAGAGACCCGTAAAGATATGGAGTAGACGAGGTCTTCAGCAACCCATGCTTGCCGTAAAAGGTGACTATGCTAGTCATAAGAGGCGACTAACGCCTGAAGGGGTTCCCATTTTGGCATCATTCTTGAGGAAAAACCAAAGAGCTTTGAAACTGTGTACCCTGTTGTGTCTAGATGTTCTCGTGAAAAACTATGGTAAGTGTGTTATTGTAGATCTGGAGGCAGTAGCATACTCACAGTACAGATGACATTGCATGACTGGTGTTAACAAAGTCTGCATGGAGATATTGTCCAGCACTGAGATGCATTTTTGGTTAAAATGTTTGTTAAAAACATCAATCTCTGTCAACCCACCAGTTCTTGACATGGCTGTGTCTGTGTGGCCAGACATGTTTTTATGGTGGAAAATTAACACTGAATCGTCTTCAGGACTGATGCATTTGTGTCAAATCCTACCAATAGATTCACACAAGCTGAGGTTCATGAAAAATATGACCATACAAACAGATGTTGAAGGGAATGAAGATATGACAAACTTTGTGCAGATTATGATTCATGAAAAATATACCTTCGGATTCAGAAATTGAACAGAGTATTATTATCAATCAGTCCAGTGAAAAGGGGAAGTGAAGTGGGGAACTTTCTACACACAACTGCTCATTATTATGATTATCTCTCTTTCTTTTGTTAATGACATTCATCATGTTCCAAGATGTATCCAAAGTATTCTTGTTGGTACACTTGAATCTTGTAGAGCACACTTTTCCTTGATAAACAGCCATCCATTTGCTTACTGGGAAGAGACTGATGGTATGATATGGAGCTCTCAGTGATTGTTACTGGGTACTCCAGATCAGCTTGTACACAGTAGGATGTAGTGACAGTGGAAACATTGCTGTGTGCACACAACCAGTCACATTTCCTTCCTCTCTGCCAGGTCCAGCCTTGACGCCAGGGATGATCGCAGACATGATGAAGGAAATGCCATCACTCATCAATGAGAATGACCTTCATGTGTCACAGGTAGGTCAGGGGTCTTTCCTTCACACAATACCTTCCAAGTGGAATGAAGTTTTCTAACGCTTGCTAGGCTTCTTCAGTTACCGTCCAGTGTCAGTCTCCCTCTTCCTCCCTGCATCCTTCTCCCCCTCCCTCTCCTCCCCCTCCCCCTCCCACACTTGGCCTCCCTCTTCCTCTCCGCATCCCTCTCTGCATCCCTCTCCCCCTCTCCCTGTTTCCCACTTTCTCTCCCTCTCCCGCCTTCTCTTCCCCCCCCCCCCCCCCCCCCCCTCCCTCCCTCCCTCTCCGCCTTGCTAAGCTACTTCAGTTACCATCTAGTGTCAGTTTCCTTCTTCCTCCCTGCATCCCTCCCTCTCCCTCTCCCTCTCCCTCTCCCTCTCCCCCTCCCTCTCCCTCTCGCACTCCCTTTCCCCCTCGCACTCCCTTTCCCCTGTTCTGAGACAGACATAACAACAATCTGGAATCCTATGAGGTCACCATGGAATGCAATGACTGATGACTGAACTCACCTGTTAAGCACAATGTAGAATGTGGTAAAACAGAAATAAATCTTTCGACTAAATTATTATCAATGAACAGAGTATTTAAATAAGATGGGATCCATTTTTTTTTCAAGATAAGTATACATACACAGTGAAAAGTCCTAGACAATGAGATATTGTCCAGCACTGAGATAGATTTTTGGTTAGAATGTTCACTAAAATTATGACATCAATGTCAACCCACCAGTTCTTGACATGGCTGTGTCTGTGTGGCCAGACATGTTTTTATGGTGGAAAATCAACACTGAATCGTCTTCAGGACTGATGCATTTGTGTCAAATCCTACCAATAGATTCACACAAGCTGAGGTTGGTGGAAAATATGTTGTTACTAGCAGACCTTTAACAGGACGAACACAGGTAAATGAAGAAATGATGAGATAAGTGTGCCATGACCTGCATCACTATCCTGACCAGGCTTTTGGCTTTCCTCTCACAAGCTGACATACCGTGGTATGACTGAGATACTGTTCAAAGTTGTGTTAAACCAGTTATGTTGAAGTTTATTATCTACAGGGATGATAATTGTCTACAGATACATGGAATTTTGTGGATTTCTTGACATCAAGGGTCAATTTTGTGATACATGCTATTGTTATATACAGAAAACTATTGTTATCACAAACTCAAAGGGACCACTAATTTTAATTCGTTATAACTGTAGTTTGCCAGAAACCTATGATTGTGGGTTCGAATCCTGGTTCGTCATGATTATGTTTCTTGGTTTGTCTGCACCTTTACCCGTGCTCGTGGGTTTCACCGAAGTGGTAAACATCCGAGACCTGCATCACTTCGGGTTTTCCTCCCACATTAGGCTGACATGCTGTGATATAACTGGAATACTGTTAAAAGCGGCATTAAACCCACTCTCTCATGCCATCGAACATTTGCAAACCATTGTTGTAAAACTGGAGTGAGTCACCCAGTCATGTGATATGTTATATGTTGCAGTTAACACTGAACCTCCTGACGTCCATCTCCCGGATACAGAAATCCTCCATCTCCAACATACAGTCGGAGATCCTGCCGCAGATCCTGGTTTTGATACAGTCGCCCCTACTACAAGGCGGGGCACTCAAAGCTCTCTTAGAATTCTTCCAGTCTGTAGTGAAACTTGGCTTAGCCAAACTAGGCTTTAAAGATCTGTTACAGGTAGGGATACTATAGGGATAGACATTTGGACTAGCCTGCCAGCCTGAATCAATTCATCATATGTTAAAGGTATCCTGAGGACTAGCAGAATATCAGGTTGTGTAGGGTTTTTTAGTCTCTGTATGTTATTACAAAAGGAGCTAGTTTCAGGTTAATTGCTGTACTGAAGTAGGGTTTAATTGAAACTGTACTGAAGTAGGGTTAAATTGAAACTGTCGGCAACACCATGGTGGCTTGTTGAGATGTACTAAATTCTTTTGAAACTGAAATCTTCTCCAATTGTGGTACTCACTCGTGGTAGATAATATGGAATTGTCTTGTTTCAGCTGTTGATTATGCCAATTTACAGTCCACAACAAACAGGCACTGGATTTGCTGTTCATAAACAGGTCAGTCACTATTTGTCAACTAACAGGAAGTGGTGGAAGCTACTTTACTATGATAACCTGGCATGGCACATTGGTTAATTAAGGCAAAGGCCCAAGTTTCGTAAAGTAATTTGGATGTACTTTAATCGTAATACTCTGATTGTGTTGTTGAACAGGGCCAGGAGACAATAAAGACATTTATGAATTGGAAGTTATTGTCAGATTGGCTGATCCTCCCTATTGATATTGCTGGAATATTGCTGAAAGTGGTGTACTCACTCACTCACTCACTCACTCACTCACTCACTCACTCACTCACTCACTCACTCACTCACTCACTCACTCACTCACTCACTCACTCACTCACTCACTCACTCACTCACTCACTCACTCACTCACTCACTCACTCACAATTATCTGAGTGACTATGACTTCATTAATCCAAAATCCAGATTAGGAACAGTAAACATGGTGGAGAGAATTCACGTTAGAATCTCAAGACATTAGTTGGATTGTTATTTTGTGATCATTGTCATGTGGTTGTTTGTTGCAGGCCTTTCATTCCATAGCCAAATCTGTAGCTGCACTAACTGTGATGAGCCCTGAAGAGGCAGGCAATGTTGTCAACCAGTTTGTTAGTGATGTTAAGGTGAGGGAACATTTTCATCAATCTATTTAGGGCATTAACCATATGTGTGTTCACATTTGTGGGTGATTTCATTGGAAGTTGATTAACAGCTGGGTGTTTCAGATTTTTGAGTTTCCACGCATCAATTGCTCAATAATCCCCATAAACCTGAATGAAAAATAGGGAAGATAACATTAACTCTCTCTCTCTCTCTTTCTCTCTCTCTCTCTCTCTCTCTCTCTCTCTTTTGCTATCTCTCTATCTCTATCTCTCTCTCTATTGCTATCTCTCTATCTCTCTCTCTCTCTCTATCTCTCTATCTCTCTATCTCTCTCTCTCTATCTCTCAATCTCTCAAATTTGCAGTTTTCATAAATGCAAAGATTTTGGGATTCAATCCTATTTAACAATGTTTTTGAACAATCACATATCAGCACACACACCCATAGATTTTACAATGTTTCATAAACATGATAAATTGAATATTATGTGAATTATTTTTTTATTTCAGAATGCAAAGTCAACCGATTCAATAGTTCTATTCTCATTATTAGCCCTCGGCGAAATAGGAAAACATGTGTAAGTATATTGATCTACATCTCAACTGTCCATATTCCAATTTTTATCCGTTTCCTTTGAATCTTCTAGTTTGATAAATACCCTTTGTACCCCATGTTACAGTGTGTGGCCTGGCTGATTGTGTGTCATCATCACTATAAATATGCAAGCAAGTGTAAAATATTGATGGATTTAATGTTCAGTATATGTGTAAGTTTGGCATAAACTATTGATGATGTTGAAAACTGTTTAAGATGCTTTTTGAGTGCCTAAACTGAACTAATGTCTGGTTTTCTCTTGCAGTGATTTAAGTAGCCAAGGCGAGATTCAAAATGTAATATTAGAGTCTTTTTCATCTCCCAATGAAGAAGTGAAATCAGCAGCATCATATGCTTTAGGTGAGTCGAGAAGACATACTGAGTATGTGAGTGAGTGAGTGAGTGAGTTGGGTTTAACGCCGCTGTTAACATTATTCCAGTTATGTCATGACGTGTCAGCTTAATGTGGGAGGAAAGCCCAAAGTGATGCAGGTCTCAGACGTTTACCACTTTGGTGAAACCCAAGGGGCGCAACTCTGCACAGCGAATCACGGCGCCTTAGACGACTGGGCCACCCGTGCCCTTACTGAGTATATGTGCAGCATGTACGTTTGGAGTCAAATAAGTCAAGACATGTGGCTTGTGGTATACTAGCTACAATTTGACGTATTTGCATAAAGAGCAGTTTCAACACTGATGCTCATGTTATGTCCCCTGTGAGTTTGAATAGGTCTTCAGCATCCCATGCTTGTCGTAAAAGGCGACTAACGGGATCGGGTGGTCAGACTCGCTGACTTGGTTGATGCATGTCATCGTATCCCAATTTTGATGTTCATGATGTCAGTCAATGGATTGTCTGGTCCAGACTGGTTTTTTTACAGACTACTGTCATGTGTTACCAGGGTTTGTTGCCTGTTGGCTTTTCCATGGGCAGTAATACTTGAGCAGTACAACCATGAGTTTCTAACCTGTTTATGAACTGTTTATAGTCTGGTTAGAAACACTGAGTATCATAACTACATTACCGCATCAGGTCTTAACTTGACATGCAGAGGTATATGGAAGACTGTCAACTTTGACTGGGATAATACTTTTAGAGAGCTACGTATCTGTTTTGACAGTTGCAAATGGGTTATTTTATTCTTGGATGTTTTTATCATCCCCCCGGTTTGAAAAACGGGGGGGTGGAGGGTATATAGCGATCAGCATGTCCATCCATAAGTTTGTCCGCCATTGATATCAAAGTTAAGTTATGTTGTGACATTTCTATTTGAGTTGTCTTTCACACATTCTTCATTTTCAGGCAATGTCAGTGTTGGAAATCTACCCAAATTCCTTCCATTTGTGTTACAAGAAATAGAAAATCAGCCTAAAAGACAGTATCTGTTACTACACTCTCTGAAAGAGGTAAGTGTGAGGCTTGTTCTATGCGGTCGTGAAAGGCAGGAGGTTTCAAAAAGTTCCTTGAAAGTAATGTGGGGAATAGATTCTGTATATTGAGTGGGAGAAAAAATATGCATGATCGGGTCTGAATATCTGTCTTGCATTTACAGTTATTGTAAATTATCATATGGAATAAAGCTAAGTCAAAAGTTCTGTAGAAGTATAGTTGTATTATGATGACTGCTAGAGTTAAACCTTGTCATAGACTTTATCTGTTGTGCTGTTTTGATATTCATGTCTGTTTTTGTTTTGAGACTTATTAACTTTTAAAAATATTGATGGTCCCAGTCATCAACGTAACCAGGTAAACAAGGTTTGGTAAAGGGGTGTGGTTAAAAAGGTATCATCTGTTCCTCAGATCATCAGCTGTGAGTCTGGCTCCCCATCTGGTGTAGAAACTCTCAGCCCCTATGTACAGACAGTATGGTGAGTGATGTGATATTCATGGCAGTAAAGTATGGAACTGTCATGTATTTTCTTTGAAAGTATTAAGAAGGGTTCTGGATTATTTGCTGATATTGGCTATGGTATTTGAATAAAAGTATTGTCTATCTTTTGAAGATGAGGACTTGTCTTTCAAGATCCTTGTCTTTAACCCTCATTTGACAACAAGTTTTGTTTCTTTGAGAAACTAATATGTTAGGTCTTACTCAAATGATAAGGCCTTTAAGTCTGAGCTAAATACAGTCAAACACTGTTGTGTCAAACTTACGGTTGTCTCAGAGTAAAAGCTTAGTCCCTATGTATTCCTTCTTTATTCATCATTGTAGGATGTGGCGCACCTTGTATAACTCGAAGTATTTACATAGTCCCTTCATCTTCAACACAATGGTGTTTGACTGTATTAGTTTCTTAGGTTACAAAATAGGTTTTCAACACTTTCTATTCTCCATTTGGCACAGACCACTCCTTGTGGGTCCCCGAACATGTGATTGGACTTACAGTAGACTTTACATTCTCACTAGCTATGTTATGATCTCCGTTGAAAAAGCTTTTGCAGGAGAACACAAGTTTGTTTCAGTATTTATAGGAGACTGCTGTAATCTAGTGTGGACATGTTGTTCCAGGACGATGTTGTTTAATCACTGTGAGTGTCCTGAGGAAGGAACAAGGAATGTTGTGTCCGAATGCCTGGGGAAACTGACCCTCATCGACCCAGGGAACCTCCTGGGTAACCTGAGACAACACCTCAATCACCAGTCTGCTTTGACACGTAGCACGGTCGTCACAGCAATTAAGTTCACAATATCAGACCAGGTAGGGGGCTCTCTACCAATTCATTTCAGGGACCTTACAGTTTTACACTGAAATACTTTTGTTTTCATAAATAAGAGAAATAGTTCAGGGTTTGATAGAATTATTTTTTACAACATGTTGGTAGAATCTGTGCAAGTGGCACAGTTCTAAAGCTGAGGGCTCCAAATGGCTGTGCAGAATTGACCCTTGTTCCTGCAAGGTTGAGCTGGTCATGGGTTGATTCCCAGACTTGAATTTATGATCATTGGTCAGTGGGTCCTTGTGGGTTGCACCAGAATGGTAAATGTCCACAAGCTGTGTCAATGTGGGCTATTCTAATATATGAAGATCCGGTGTAGAATAGGTCTTCAGCAACCCATGCTTGCAATAAAGGGCAACTATGCTTGTCGTAATAGGCGCCTAACGGGATCGGGTAGTCATGCTCGCTGACTTGGTTGATGCATGTCATAGTATCCCAACTGCATGGATCAATGCTCATGATGTCAATCACTGGATTGTCTGGTCCAAATAATTTACAGACCACCTTCATATGGCAGAAATATTGCTGAGTGCAGCATTAAACAACAAATATACAAACTAATACATGTACATAGCATGTTGCAACCAAGATACTGGTAAAAGCAGCCTAAACTCCCCCTTCCACTGTTCCACCTTTAAGTGTTTTATTGTCTTTGGTTGTCTACTTACATTGTCTGAACGAAACTACTTCCAGCCACAAGGTATTGACACATTGCTGCGAGGGTGTATTGGAGATTTCCTGCGAACGTTACAAGACCCGGACCTGAATGTGAGGCGAGTGGCCTTAGTGACCTTCAACTCGGCTGCTCACAACAAACCCTCTCTAATTAGAGATCTCTTGGATTCAGTTCTACCCCATCTTTATAATGAAACGAAGATAAGGGTAAGTAAGGTTGACTACATCATGGCTGTCATAACTGCATGTCCGTTTCAGTGACTTGTGAGATCTTTTAGGAGAGAGATGACTTTCAATAAGCCTATAGACAGGACAAAATTAACTGTGTGAACTGCATGCACAAACATCAATTATTTACAAGCTATCACATGGTTGAGTATCTGTAATTTTCTTGTTTGATCTCCAACAGAAAGAGTTGATCCGGGAAGTGGAAATGGGTCCTTTCAAACACACACTAGATGATGGTCTGGACATTAGGAAGGTAAGTTTCTGAACGACGGTTATCCTGGCCCCAATCCACAAAGCGTAAGTAGTGATACGATTGTAGTTTATTGTTCAAAAAGTCTGTTTTGTGAATCGAGGCCCAGGCTACCTAACAGCCCAAAAGCTGAAAAGCTGGAAGACATGAAGTATCAGATGAAGTGTATACATCAATACTGAATTCCCATTCTACATACATCAGTGTAATAACTAGCAGTACATGTTCATTGAATTTATCACTAAAACAGTAAACAGTGACGTACCCACAGTGTTTGTAACACAGCTTACACCCAGGCTGGATTTTAAGTCAGTTCGATATTTAGCTTTCAATGCAGTGTCTACATTTTTTCTACTGCTTCTCAATCTATGCATGAAACAAGAACTCATTGGCTACCTTCATTTGATCAAGCTGATTTGTGTGTTAGCATAGTGAACATTTTACATGAAGTAACGTTCCAACCTGGAACAAATTACTTATGAATGCAATGTATATTAACTTTCTCACCCTTTGAGTCTCATCACACAAAAGTCACAATATGGTTGATTACAGCTGACATGACATAAAATTTTAACACTCTCACTCACCACACAATGGCAATATGTTTACATGAATTATGTTGGCTCCAATCTCAGTGCAATAGGAAGAATATATGAAGTCTTTGTCGTGTTGACCAGTAGTCAAAGTCAAGCAGTTTAACAATATGTTGATATTAAAAACTATGACCTTGAATAAATTACAGAAAGGAAGGATGAGAAGTGGACGTTTTCACCTGAATATTGAATATGCAAATTTATTGATATCTCAAACGATAGCTAGAGGTCTGCTATCCTCTTTGAAAGATAGCTGAAGATGCCAACCAGTTCTTCAGAACCATTTATCTCCATTTTAGGCAGCCTTCGAGTGTATGTACACCCTGCTGGACTCCTGTTTAGATCGGTTGGACATATTCGAGTTCCTCAACCATGTAGAAGATGGACTTAAGGACCACTATGACATAAAGATGTTGACGTACCTGATGCTGGTCCGTCTTTCACATCTCTGTCCAAATGCTGTACTTCAAAGTAAGTTGGAACATTCTCCTGTTGCAGCAACTTATTACTTCATGGTTATTATGTTCAGGGTTGTTTCAAATGTGAATCTACTTATGATATGGCAGGACTGAAGTTTATTTAGAAATGTCATGGATTTCTCTATATGTTGTAAATGTCATTATTTTTCTGTTTCACCCTTTCCACAGCAAATAGGAGATTGTATATGATAAGGTATTATAAATATCTATTTAACTGTTGACTTCAATTTCTTTTGCGTTTATAGAGGTATTAAACGCTATAGCAGATTTACGAAAGTGTGCACACCAGTTTGTATGTTTATGACTCATTAACGCAAAAACACATTGAAGTCAATTCTTATAAATAAATATGTCAAAAATAACAACTTCACAGATTACTCTTTTTAGGATTAACACACAAGAAAATGGAGACAACAGTACGAAAACAATGACACTATTCAAAGCACCAATGCAACACAGACCCCAGATTGTGCATCATTGATTCATTGTGCTCTGATGGCTGGGGCAGTTGCCATTGGTTTGCCATTCCTCGACCCAAGATTGAAGTACCACAAACTCACTCACTAAAATCCCCAAATGTTAAATGTTTGCAACAACTTGCCATTGGTTTCAGGACTGGACCGACTGGTTGAACCACTGAGGGCAACTTGTACAACTAAGGTGAAGGCCCATTCTGTGAAGCAGGAGTTTGAAAAGCAGGATGAGCTGAAGAGATCAGCCCTCCGAGCTGTGGCTGCGTTGCTCAACATCACTGATGCAGGTTCGTATGGTCCTTGTTAGATACTGCTAGCCTCGGTTGTATTCCTCATTCGGGGCACGGGTGTCCCAGTTGTATAAGGCGCCGCGATTCGCTGTGCAGAATTGCATTCCTTGGGCACGCCAGAAACCGATGATTGTGGTGTTTGAATCCCAGTTCGCCCCGATTATGTTTCTAGGTTTGTCAGCACCATACCCATTCTCGTGGGTTTCACCGAAGTGGTAAACGTCTGAGACATGCATCACTTCGGGCTTTCCTCCCACATTAAGCTGACACAGCGTGATGTAACTGGAATACTGTTAAAAGCGGCTTTAGATCCAACTCACTTACTCACTGTATTCCTCATTGTGTCTGTTTCTTGTCTGGGATCTGCTTAAGTGTGATTGAAGTTGATTCACTTGAGATCCTTTGTCTGCCTGCCATTACTCAGACTCAGTTGTATATTAATGTACAGAAGGTATTAATTGGTGCCACCTGATTTGTCATGATACTTTCAAGTACAGTACTTGACCCTGACAAATTGATCACAGTATTTAATTATGTGGGACTTTGTTTCACGATACAACAGTTAGTTTCTTATGCCTACATCTTAAAGATAGTCCTTTAAATAGTCCATAAGGATAACAGAGGTAAAGTTCTTTCTGCTTACTTGTCAGTCTTTTTCAGCCAATCTTTAAAGCACATGAGAAATAATAATCTTCGTCAGATTTAGGTATTAGTTGAGTTATTTCGACAGACGCTGTTGAATTGTTTCGACTACTAAGACTGCACAGCTAAATAATCCCTGGTAAATAGGAGTGGTTTTATATAATGGAGGCTGTCTGCTGCTGTAATTGACACAGGCATCTCATTACTGTTATTGCCTTCCTCACTGTTACGCTTTTGATACAAGCTGCCTATTCTGTTTTCAGACAAGAGTCCACAGATGAATGAGTTCCTTACCCAGATCAAATCAAGTTCAGAACTGTCTTCTATGTATGAAAACATTCAGAAAGATGCCATCTCAACGTCGGACTCAACCACGATGGACACAAGCTGAATACCTTCTTTCCCTAGCGTTGTAATCAAGTGCTCTTTTAAGTCAGGGTGTGGCTTTGCTGGGTGCACATGTTTGTTAAGTATGAGCAAGACGTCTTCAGATCATTAGAAAAGCCTCTTCCGCAACTGACAATGCTGGACTTCTATTTTTTAGTTAAATGGATCAGTGTGAAGAGTTTGTACATGTACACTACTCAAAGGAATTTAAAGAACACCCAATTCTTTCATATCACTGTAATTAATCCGTCATAACAGATAAACTATAGCAATATGAAAGAATTGGGTGTCTTAACTTCTTTCGTGTAGTATACATAGCTCAAGACAACAATACAACACCCTGAATGACACTTTAAAAAGTGCTATCACTGTTGGTTTCCATAAATAAAATGTGAAAATTATGCGATGAGAATCCATGTTAAACATGCTGTTTCTTGTCATGATGGATTGATATGATCTTGATCAGGCATTTCATAAGAACGCCTTTTGTGCTATGAGACTTGACTTTGTCAAGCAGATGTCATTTCCTGGTCTGTTGGAGACGTGCCCGCTTCAATGCACAATCGTAAGATATTGTGTAATACCTAAATTTGGTTGCTGTCGTATTCTGGAAAGGCCTTTGTTGATATGTGCACAACCACTCGCATCTTCCTCTGATGTCCTTCTTGTCACTTCTACAAACCAGGAACCTGTTCCACAAAACGATCTTTGTGTCAAGTGTCTCAGTCAGTGCTAAAGTATTGGTGTTACGTTCATCTTTGGGCTAAGACCACTTTGTGGAACAGGGTCCTGAACACGATAAACCACTGCTGTGACGACCACTTGAATCCTACTCTAAGGGTAATTGGTTATCATTGCAAATTGTGTGTTGACTGATGGAACCGAGTATTGTGTTTTTGATTGCAGTTTTACTTGTTAAGAGTACAGGCTACAAAAGCGTACCGAAGGAGCAGCACATTAACATAGATACTTCTGTATATCAATGCTTAAGTCAAATCCTGTATGTTATGTCATGGTCAAAGTATCCCCTGCAGAATTGTTGTTGAAGTATAAAACCATCACATATGCTAATGGAGAAGGTGATGCAAATATCACAATATGCTTATATGCCTTTCCCCCAATGTAGCATTCAACCATATTTAAAATTGTTCAATGTATATATACCAAATTCCAAGATAATAATATTTTGTTATACTACAACAAAATCACAAACTAGAAATGTCAAAATTCAGATGGAAGTCATTCAATTTTTGGAGGAAATATAATCAATAATCTGGAACAGACAACATTGATTCATAAAGATCTTGTTCATTACCAAGTGAATGTTTGTCATTCTGTAAATAACTTTGGATCAATGGCTTTCTTGGTCAAATTTGATGATACAAGCTTTCAGTATGTTTGCCCCTCACTTTTCTGCTTGCTCCGGTGGATGCCCACAGCCGTAACATGCCTGCGTATCAATGCACTTTTCACAGATATGATGGTCAGGCATTAGGAAGGCCATCCAGCGGTGTACATATTGAGTCCCCGTGACGGTTATCTTCACTTAGTTTGTACTATCAGTGTGGCAAAACCTGCGACTAATAAATACAATGTTTATCTAAGTGAAGCGTTTGGTGTTATATTTTATATGACCTATCTGTGCTGTGAAACTCTGTTAATTCGGATGCTACTTTTACCACCAGAATTGTCCAGATTAATTACTTTCAAGATTAATGTATCTGTAGTATGCAATGATGTACATATGACTAGACATATATCTTCCAAACAATAATCCCCAGGTCTAATAATGTCCTCCACAGGGCGATGGGGTAGCCTCGTGGTTAAAACGTTGTTTGTGATGCCAAAGACCTGGGTTCGATTACCTATATGGAAAGAATGTGCGAAGCCCATTTCTGGTGTTGCCTGCCGTGATATTGGTTGAATATTGATAAAAGCGGCATAAAACCTCCCTACCTCACTCACTCACTCACTGACTCCATCACTCACTCACTCACTCACTCACTCTGCCAGTGGCATGGTACTTGGGTCATACTATGAACCCCTGTTTTGCTTCGCCCATACTTAACTGTGTGGCTACAGATTTGCCCGGACAGATGCCATCACATCTTCGGACAGAATTAGGATGGAGATGATCTGAAATGCTCCCTCCCTTGTCTGTCAGTTCGGAAGTGTTTTGCCAAAGTGGTAAACCTTTATCAACTGCAACAGCTTTTGGCTTTACTTCCACATGAAACTGAAACCTACTGAAGCAGGAAACTGGTTTCAAACAACCTTTAACCGTGTTAACTAAATTCACTCCCTCGTGCTTACAGCTTAGTTGGCCGGAGGATGGTACCCCTTGGGCTGAGAGGTTTCTGTGTAAAAATATAGATGCTCATTATTTCAATCACTTAATTATTAACAGACAACCATAATACAGCTTGATATTAAACAACAGGAGAGAGGTGTTCTGTAAAAAAATATTTTTTATCTGCCAGTCTGTGGTAAACTTTTACATTTTTGACATCTCTGAAACCATAATGCCAAGGAAATGGAAACTTAGCAAGATTGATCTCTGCTTCAGTTTCTCTAACAAGTACTGGCCAGCCATAACAGCAAGTATACTCAGTCAAAAGGAGGAAAATGAATGACATTCACACTTGGATTATTAGTTCAGTGGACTTTGTCTAAAGTGATGAGATGACCAAGTTTGGTTGTTTTTCTAATGACAAGTTTAAAAAGTTCAGATATCTCTTGATTGAAACATGATTACATAATATAGGCATTGTCCCACCATGTAACAATGGATTAAGCAGCGGCTAATTTGCCTTCTAAGACATTTATTTTGTCTGTTAATTGTTTACCGCCACACTCAGCAATATTCCAGCCATATGACTGCGGTCTGTAAATAATCGAGTCTGGACCAGTTGTCCAAGATGAATTGTATACTAGCTCCGGGACGTGCGTTTCATAACCCGGCAAACAGTGGCACACTGGGAACACATTGTATGACATGGGTGCGACTCACTTATCTCGCAGCCAACCATGGAATTATTGCATGTCGGTTTAAATACCGTTATCAATACTATGTTTAACCAAGTTAAGTGCGTAGGTTCTATGAATATTGTCCATGGTTGAAATGGGTTAAAACACTCGAACCCCAGTTGTCTGTGTTAACATTTAAATCGTAATCAGAAATAACACAGAAAGTATGGAATTTCATTGCTTTGTGCTCACGAGTGTACGAGTGGGCAGATCTATTCATATGGCGACCATACCCGTGCTCGTGGGTTTCACCGAAGTGGTAACGTCTGAGACCTGCATCACTATGGGCTTTCCTTCCACATTAAGCTGACACGCCGTGATATAACTGGAATACTGTTAAAAGCGGCGTTAAACCCAACTCACTCACTCACTCACTCATATGGCGATGTCATCCTTCAAGGTTATTGTTGGTTTGTTGGCCTGAATTTCCAAAATGGTTCCAAATGCCTTTGGCCCACGACCGTTCGATCCAAGTGGTTTTCACATTGTCCATGAAGTAGGTACCTACGGACCTTGGGGACAGTCGGCGACAGCATCAGCCTAGAGGCACTATCAGGGTAATTACCATAGTCTGCTATAAGAACTTCCTCCCGCTTACGGTGCCAAATACACTGTGTGTAGCGAAAAAAAGCATCCTCGAGTGCTTGTAGTTGGTGGAAATACAGCTAGTACGTCGTTGTGAGCACCACGTTCTCAGTCCAGCTGAAAAACGAGGAACCCAGTGGAAGCCAAGGTTGTGTGGATCGTCTCTTAGATCTGCTCTAAGATCCTCTCATACGTGCGTTCAGTCCTGTCAGGCAGCAAACAATAAACTAATGGAAACATATACCCTTGGAACTCGGCATGCAGCATGTACAACCGGCCACACGGCTTGGGAGATGAGGAGTGAGGGAGAATGGTTTTGCGCCGCTTTTAGCAATATTCCAGCAATATCAAGGCGGGGGGATACCAGAAATGGGCTTCACATATTGTACCCATGTGGGGAATCGAATCCTGGTCTTCGGCGTGACGAGCGAACGCTTAAACCACTACGCTACCCAACCGCCCCTGGGAGATGAGGAAAACGTGCCATCGCCATTCACAATCTCAGCTTCGCATAGAAGTTCTGAGTTCTTATCTGCTTCTACTCCGTGACGAAATAACTCACCTCCTCTGTACGGCCCGCTCTCCATCAAGGTTGAGCTGTAGAGGCATCTGTGGATGGTCCTGTGGCGATGACGGTCCAACATCGTCTTCAGGGCAGCGAAGGTCAGAATCCCAGCTAGAAGAACGCCGGTACCTGTGACAACTCAAAAGCACAATCAACTATATCTGCCGGGTAATCTGTAAACAAATAAAATGTTTTTGGTAGACTTGAATATAATGAATAAACTCATTAAAATCAGATGTTAGTTCTCGCTATCGCTAAACAAAGATCTGAGGACATCCCATAACGGGTCACGTCAGAACGACCTTTCATCCAACAAATCAGAGCGTCGCTTACCAGATCATGAAAGTGACAGTCGGAATGTGTTTTCTAATCATGCAACGGGTGGCCCAGTCGTCTAAGGCGCCGCGATTCGCTCTCCTGACCAGGACCTATGATTGTGGGTTCGAATCCCGGTTCGCCCCGATTATGTTTCTAGGTCGGGGAATCAGATACTGTCGCCCAAACCATGGATAGTCTGAAGGCGACCATACAGGAATATATGACATTGTCGACTTCAGACCATATGAAACGAACGTTCAACTCATGGAAGAAAATTCGTCTGAATAAGAACAGGACATATGTGCTGGCGGCACAACACGGTCACGTTGTCTTACGTGCGTCAGGTTACGAACAGGTGTTAGGTAATTACCTCAGGTTACAGGCCATTTCATACATGCATGACAACACACGAACATTTTCTAAGTTGACCATCATTTTACCTGTAAAAGTACATTTTAAGCGTAATCACAGTGTCAGTTAGGACAGGCTAGATTAGGGCAATTTGCGTATTTTTGATATATGCTCTTTTTATAGTCCTATGACTCGTATTTATTAAATGAAGCCAGAAAAGCAAATTTCTAGCATTTCCGACAGTACTTTACTACATGTTGAAGGTGTACTACAAGGATCTATACTGTAACGTCATTCGTAGTTAGGCTCAGAAGTTAATGTTCTATGCTGGTCGTCAGACACAAGGCCACACAGCCATGTACAGGTGACAGCTGAAGAATTCTTTATCCAGGGGGTAATATCAATGTGTATTAGTCATACTGAATCCCTATTTCATTACCCTATAACAGAAAGCATTGACCACGTGGAACTATGTTCTGACCTGCTATATACTAACGTCAACCGACATGCACGATGGAGGTCGGTAAGACGTGTTTAATCTTCATTATAGTAAAGAAATCGCAACAAGGTTATTTCTTAATTTCTTTCAAAATTGCTAATCCATACATATATTTCAAATTATTAGACCTATCTATAACGGTGATGAGGTGAAATTAGGTTAAACATCGCGTCCAATAGCATTGTGTGTGTGTGTGTGTGTGTGTGTGTGTGTGTGTGTGTGTGTGTGGCTGCTTGTACTAGTCCGGAATGATGCCGATTTAAAGTGCTAGCCCACTGAGATATCATGCCGCAGTTTAACATTAATACCCAACGCAGACACAGTATACTGACTCCGAGCCTACCAGTCCTTGTTTTAGCCCTTTAATGCCGAGCGTCAGACAGGGTAACAACAAGTACCATCTTTTAACGTCTTTTGGTATGACGGACTAGACCAGACACGGAGGCGGTCCCTATCTATAATGGACTACGTACATGTAAGTGTTCTTTGACAGGCATTTAGAAGTTAGAAGAGCATGAATACACGACACTCTTTTATGGATAACAACCTCTATATTCAAGTCCCGTCTATAAAATAAGAAAATGTAAATACACTATTCTTTTTGAATATTACAAAGAAAACAAGTGAAAAGACAAAAAAAACATTGTATGTTTGTATACAGTTAGTACTGGGAAATTTTTAAACAAAATTATTTACTATTATTGTTAATTTTCAACCAATGAATGAAAAATGGCCCACTTGGCATACAACTCTGTACGCGGTTTATAGTTGACTCAATTTCTTTTTCAATAAATAACTTAATTTTAACTCTCTCCTAAAATGATTTGTCAGGATGGACTTTTTTTCCATTTACATTTGTAGAATATTATAGAAATTATTTCCAAGAGAAATAGCATTTTTTTTATATCCAAATAAAACTAATTCAAAAGAAAGGTGTATTTTGACCACATGAACACATCCCTCAAAGATCCTGTTTAAAAACTTGCCCAGAATGATTTTAAAATTTCACATTCCCAAAGAAGATAAGATATTGTATAATTATTTAGATAGCTAAAATCACAAAGAGCAGAATTTGTAATTTTAATTTCAGCTAGGAAAGAATTAGTTGGTTAAAATTCCTTGAATAGTTCTCTACTGAACCCATCATAACTTAGTATCCTGTGTTCTAGAAACAGTTTTTGAAAATATTGGAATCCAGACATCTTTGATTAGATTGTTAAACACATTCAGATAGCATTAGAGATATAACTGGATGAATTTAGGGTATACCGTATTCGACGTAATAAGCGCCCCGCTCTAATAAGCGCCCACTGCGATATTTGCTAATATATTGGCTTGTGAACAATCCCATTTAGCACCCCTTCCGATTGATCAATGTACACAAAACTTATTTATTCGCGTATAATACGTACTCGTGTGTTATATGCATTCTTAATTATGGGCAATTAAATTCTGGAAAAATATATCTGTCGCATATAAACATTTTAGTCTGTCAGCATAAACCACGAAATTTATCTTTCAACTCTGTTTTTCCACCAATATATATTCTAATAGGAGCCCCCTATTTCTAATTTTGAGAGCGCCCTGGGCGCTTATTACGTCGAATAATAATATTTTTAAGCAGTACGCACCATCTCACAAAATTCGGTGAAAACAAACATATTTACAGTTTAACCAATCCCTTTATAACTTAAAGGAGATTTCCAGTGTCTGGTTCATATCATTATGAGTAAAGGATGTGTGGCAATTAAAAATATTCCACTGTCTGACAAATGGGAGGACCCCGTTTCAAATAACCTTATATAGACTGAAATAATACCATAATAGTCAATAAAACATACATTCAAATTATATATATTGTTATATTCTATAAGAGTAAGAACGTCTCCATAATCATAATCATCACAATAAAATATTTGGGGTAACACCATATGAACGTGTGGTTCGACGCTAAAATCAAACTAAATGTTAAAATATTTACTGATGCAGTAACTGGATTTGTAATTTTGGACTGAACACTCGATCGAAAAGGATTATACTTGTCTCTCAAACAGACCCTGAAGCAAAAATAACGTAAAAACACCAAGTCTACGCGTCATCGGTTTCTGAAAATGAATAGACCCCGCTCCTCTTTATTTTATGTATTAAAAGACTATTTAAAGAAGAAGAAAATAACACTTATGTTTCAGAGACTAAAATTAATATTAGTCGAGGACATTGCACCATTACACACGGGTTTAAACATGAAGCGTGTGATCTGGGAAGAGAATAGCCTGGGGCACTGCTACGATGTGTGGGTAAAGTGGAGAGTGCGTGTCGCGGCTGGACACGGGAGATAATGCGTGGGCCGGGCGGGTGAGGCCTTGCCGCGTGGCTGGGCTTCCCGCCATTTCCGTCCAACGTGACGATGTACTTTATGTATATATGGGGCGCAGGAAGGGGGGAGAAGAAAAGAAATATGCCCTACCGTTGTACTAGCGCCAGTCCTTCTCAATCACTGCGGAATATCTGCATTTATTATTTTCAAATATATGAAATGGTGATAAAATTAATGAAGTCTAGTTGGATATATTCTATGTATGAACCCAGGATTACAAAAACAATTAGAGGAGAGAAATGTATGGTGTAATAAACGCGGTCGTAGACAAAATGTCAGGTGATTCAAGCCCATGAGAAATGGCATTATTTGTTCGGAGACTACACACACCTGCAGCATGGTTCGTGATTTATGTCAAGTTTTTAAGAATATGTTTTCGATATACTAACAGTGTTACTTATAATAAAGAAGTTGACATCCATAAACTATCTTCCTTATACAAACATATGTTCAATAATGACATGTTATGTGGTAAATTTCGTGGTAAATACATTTTCTCTTTTGCCATTTTAATTAATTCTAACGTGTATTTTTGTGTGTGTTATTTTCTTAAAATTACAGCCCACATATTACTATTATTATTATCTTTACTTCAAATAAATTCAGAAATGCTAAATACGAACGAAATGTAAACAGCATTATATGTGTAGAGCCCTAGATCTAAAAGTGTGAGCTCGCTTCCGGCAGTATCCATCTTAGATATAGAAACCATTTAACTGACACCTCTTCGACAGGTGATATATTTAAAAAATGGGTGAAAACATTGATAGCAAAATCACCTTATTATGACATTTAATTTTGGATTTATTCGGGGTGTGGTCGAATAAACACACACACACCGTGTGTGCTATTTTGTTTAACGGGAGGTTTGTAATTTTGTCGAGTTATGCCCCTTCGAATATGAAGATCGAAAAGTCAAGCACTTCCGGGACATTGTTTGCAGATTGAAAATGTGCGAGGTTGACACACATTTTCTGCTAATATTATGGTAAATATTCGCTGAAAATTAATTGCAGTGACGAAATTAGCAGTCTTATATGTTATTTATCTTATTTTGAGATTAGATATATGCATGACATTGTATATCCAAATGAATCTGACTATTCATGCGATTTTCAACGCAAGATTTATTGTCAAAACAATCACAGAATGGCTGTCAAGATGCATGCTACAAATATACATATTTTATAGTCTTCCGCTTTAAATTTAAAGTAATTGAATTGTTTTCACTGAAAAAAATCATTTTACGCTCTGAATAAAACACGATTGTTCTGTTTACTTGTGCATTTCATACACGCTTATCAGCTAGATATTGGATTCAAACTTCACAGCCGAGATACATTAGTTAAGCCTGTCAATACTGAGTATTTACGACGATATTCACTTATATTTGTAAACACACATCGAGTTGCATCATAAACATCATACAATGAAGTCACATTTTGAATATGATAAGTAATTTCACATGTTATTCTAATTTGTTATTTCTAATATAAGCAACATCATCTGCTGATCGGACCTATGCCATGTATGCACACTCAGTGGTTAAAATATGCTGTCAATAACGACACATTTGTTGTGAGATTATACAAGTTATGTTTTTTTTCCCTTTTGAGATTACATTATTGCAAAATCAATCTCACTTATATAACAGTGTATAGCACTATGCAACTTCAGCCATTAGCCCGAAGCCGTTGTGACATGAGGCCATTTTGACCTGCTCCTGAAGCATAAGTTTACATGGTACCAGTAAACATTATTCATGCCCAATAAGGTCAGCAACTAAATTATGGTGAGAAGATGCTGAAAGTTGGGACAAGTGGATGCAAATGTGTTCAAGCCCCCACCCCTCTCACAGACACACACACAGACACACACACACACACACACACACACACACACACAGACGGTGTACATGATGTAAGTTACATGATAATATGTTGTCTTACATCATGTTTATTGGCACATGACTATCTCACACAAGAAATTCCTAATTTTGAATACTTTACTAAATCCACTTTGTCCATGTTGTCTACCAATTTTTTCCGTTCAACGCTCTATCAGCTAAGTATATCAAGTTTTAGTTAAAAATACAGATAGCTGTACATGCAAAATACAAAAGACATGTTCAAAAGTCCATTTTTATTCAATGGAGAGCTTGATATTTTGAAAATGCTTCTATTTGATTGTGAACAAATCTGATGTTTAGTCTAGTCATGACTGATTCACTTTTATTACCTTTTGTAATTTTGAGTGAGTCATAAATGTATACATGGTATAAGTGATGTACTGCACTTCCAATCTCTAACATCTCTAGGGTTGACACTTTTGGTGTAATAATTGAAATTTCCTAATGGTAAATCTTAAATATCTTTGTTTTTGCTTTAGGTCATAGTCTTTTTGACTATGAATGTGTTGATGTTCTTAATCATGTTAATTGTAAATAGGTTTTGTTGCAAAGTAGTTTTACTAACAGTAGCAAGTGTATGAAAATGTTCGATTTGTAGACATGGCGTTATGTGAAATATTAGGAAACTTTCTTAATCTTTTTCCGCTAACCTTGCCACAAATGTGAGGCAGTAGATTTGATGGAATGTGATCTTTAGCACCTGCTGTACTTAAGCTGTTGAAAACTTCTTGATTAATGCTGAAACCATAAGTAACTTGTGGTTTCGTTGCTGCTGAGTTAAACCATTTGCTGTCAGAATGACCCAATTCAAGGATTGCTTGGTATAGCAACATAGATAATATATTTGCTTTATGAACCATAAGAATTTGTCTTTATCACTGCAAATTTCAATTTTAATGTGTTTTGTCATTTCAATATCATGAAGATCAATTGCTCATTTTGATCTTTTGCTTAGGATCATTCTAGATAGTTAATAGTAACTTTTTTGTTGTCATATTTAGGTATTGCAATGCCAATCCAAAATTATTAGAAACAATTGTGGTTGTTAGTCATGTTATTATGATGATTACATTTGATGTATTTAGCTATTATTTTGTGTTTTTTTGTAGTTCCAATGTGTGTATTTTAAAATATATGTCTTTTAACTTATTTAAACATTGGTTTGATCATGTAAATGATTTCATAATTTCTTACAGTGTGATAGGTTATCATAACCTGAGTACTCATACTTTATGTATGTTCCTACATATAATATAAAAATAATGGAATTCTGCGTACATCATGTACATCGACTGTATGATTATTGATGTTTGTAAAACACAACCTAAGGTCTTAAGTCAATTGTTTTGTATTCTGTCAATGAGTTCTACAACATACAGCTCTCTCAATGCATTCTTTCTAATCCATATTTTCAGTTCCTTAATCCGTTCCATATCTTATAAGCATGATAAGGGTTATTCCAACGTTTCATGCACAGAAGAACATAAGTAACTCTGCCATGTCATAACAGTTTATGAAAAGATGATTTCTATAAAATTATGTGGATATGTTTCTTCTTGGCGTTCGTATAATTGAGCATGATTATTACACAAAAGTTTCATTAGCCATAAAAGTTATGAAAAAATATTTTATTATTGTACCATTTTGAACCGTAACATTTTGGAATCCTGAATTATGTTTCTGAGCCATAACTCTCAGAGTTTACTCAAACTACTTAATAGTTTTGCATGAAACTATGCATGTGCAGTGACCACATGCTCAACTATTGCCTTTTCATTTAGTCAATATTTGGGAGCACCTTTAGAATTTAGTATCACAGCCTCGTAGGTCACATGTCTCAAAGACACGTGTCTCAAAGAGAGATCACTGAGAGGAGCTTATGGACACTCGATGACCCCTGATGCATAAGCACTTTTTTAACATACCCAACTGGTAGCCAGTTTCAAATACTCATTTAACCAAATATACATTGCAAAATACTGTGATGTGGATCCTTGAATATGAATTGTCATGAATTTTACAATACATTCAAGACAGAACACTTAATGGACAATGACGTAAAGACTTTCACATACTGTGGTGCTTGATCTCCCTTGTGCGTAGAGCATTGAAACGCCATAGTAATAGTGGTGTCCACTTCAGACAATGCAAGAACTAATCATTGCAAGTGTCACTTACTTTTCGATGTTTTCTATTTCAAGATTTGAACTCAATTTGAAACATTAATTTGAAACCTATAGATTTCAAACCTATTATTTGAAAACCTATTAATTTGCATTGTCTTATGAAATGTCCAAGTATCGAGTCTCCTCAATCATGTAAATATTCCATCAGTGCCAACTGCTAACTGGCTTCACTTTAGACTGCTCTGATTGTACTTTTTCCATTGACATGATCAATGTTTATTTTGTGTGTTTTTTTCCCACATGTCCAGCATTTATAAGTAATGTTTATTTTGCAGTAAACCCTAGAGAGTGCTATCTCAGCTGTTACCTGTGAACTGATACAAGTCATGGAATCAGGCAAAATGCCTGGGGAAGGAAGTAAAAATAATGGCCATGATGCCGATGTTGCAGTAAAAAGGTAAAAATACCTTCAAAGAAATAGCTTCCTGTGCTTACTGTAACATTCTCATAGTCGTGTTACTGATTCTACCATGACATTGAAGAATGTTTGATTCTGATTGGTTAAGAAGAGGTTTCCAGTTTGCTGCTGAAACCCCTTTTAAATATATTATGCCTTTTCATTCCACAAAACGATAGCCTACACATCGATTCATAACAAAATGGCTGCCGATCAATCACCGTTAAAGCACTCGGTTCCAAATTAAAATTAGAGGTATCTTCTCTACAGCGGGACTACATCAAATTTCAAAACACAGTAGGTTTATCTCCTAATTGTCAACTTTAGCATCTATAAACCAACTAAAGGCTTGTCATGAACACTCTGGATATTGTCTTTGTAAATACTGTACACGTTTTGTTGTTTGTTGTGAAATGCCACACACAGCAGTGTTGACCTGTTAAGATCCGGGGTAGAATTGGTCTTCAGCAACCCATGCTTGCCGTAAAAGGCGACTATGCTTGTCGTAAGAAGCGACTAAAGAGATCGGGTGGTCAGGCTCGCTGACTTGGTTGATGCATATTATCGATCCCAATTTCGTTGATAGATGCTCATGCTATTAATCACTGGATTGTCTGGTCCAGACTCAATTATTTACAGACCGCCGTCATGTAGCTGGAATATTGCTGAGTGCGGCGTTTAACAACAAACCAACCAACCACAGCAGTGCCTGGGCTAAATGGCAGTCTGTAAATAATCAAGTCTGGAGCAGATAGTATTTACACTTTATAAAATGAATAGACTGATAATCATGTTAATTACAAATATATTACATTTTAAAGGATGGTTACAACTGCAAAAAGTTGTAAAATTGGTCACTGTGGTGCAGCTGAAATATTGCTGACCAGTCATAATTTCAACATTTTCTTCACTTTTGTTTAGGAAAAGCAAGACTTAAGTAACAAGATTATGCGATGTTCAGTTGTGGATATCATTATGAAGAAACATCGTGATTTGAAGGTTTATTGGTGTGTTAATATCTGAGACCTTACAACATGTACAAGCAAACTTTTGAATGGCTACATCGTGATTACATGTTGAATGTTTGACCATTTTTAGATCAGGTCGCTGTATCAAACGCAGTGCAAAATATGATTCCGATGATTGTGAACCACAAGAGAAGACTTCTATGAACTTTAAGCCAGTAAAGAGATGCCCAACAAAAGGATGTGCGGCAACCACACCAATATGTTTTGCCAAATCCACAGAAAAGTAAGTAATTGTGTCTGTTTTACCTTCCTTGCTTAACATGAAATACTTGGGAGTTGAATCTGTCAGTAAATATGATGCCTATTACTCTACTTTGCAAGATTATAAGTCTGTTCATTGACTTCAGATCCATCAATAATTTTTTAACAATGTCAGGCACCATGACAACAAATATCAACAATTTGATAAATTGTTTCACATCTTGTCATCATTATCATGATATTGGTTAAAATGCAAAATGGTAGAGACAAGTTTGAACAAATTAGTTCGCGATAGCAATGTTAGTTATGGGACCTTGTTTCCATAATAATAATGATGATGTTGATTGATGATTGATGATTGATGATTGATGATGATGATGATGATGTGCACAAAATATCAAAACCATCATTTTAGCTGTTCAGAATATGCGTAATTGGGGATGTAACTTGTGGCCGTAATTCATGTAGCATTTTCAGCATGATCAGGAAACTTTGTCTTGATATATAAAATATAATATATGTCAGTGTCAACAGTTGACAGTGAATCATCAAACTAAATGGTCTGACCAGCAACTGACATAAAAAAGAAGCTTGTGTATACTTGTTCACATTATCAGTGTCTGTGTTTACAATGTCTGTGTTTATAGTGTCTGTGTTTACGGTGTCTATCTGCCAGTATTTACCAAGGTGTGTCTGTGTTTACCACTACCAGTGTCTATTTGTGTCTGCAGGTGTTGCGGAAGTGGGTACACATCACGCTGGTACCACATGTCATCAGGGGAACACTTCTGTAATGAATGCTTTGAACATTTCTACAGAGGGTAAATATCTTTTTCAAAATGTCTTTGCACATAAAAGCAAGCCATCTGTGTCTACATACACATTTGACATGTTAATATTTTTCACCACGTTCAGTGTTTTTTTAACTGCGACTGTCCAATGCATTTCTCATCATGCTCACGATTGTTCAAGACTTGTAAAGATTAGAATTATCTTCAACAACCTATAAGTGTCATAAGAGGACACTAACCGGATTATGTGGTCAGGCTCTCTGACTTGGTTGATGTAATTCATCGTATCCCTATTGCGTTCGATGTTTGTGATGTCATTCACTGGATTGTCTGGTCCAGACTCAATTATTTACCGACTGTCATCACATAACTGGAACATTGCTGAGTGCAACATTAAACAAACAAACAGACAAACATGATGGTTCAAATCTCTGATCAACGCCAGTTATGTTCTTTGGTTAGTCAGTGTCCAAGAAGTGCTTGTCAGTGGCACTACAATAAAGAATGTTCAGGTCCTGATTATGAGCATTACCATAGTTGAATTTTCTGTAATTGTTTTGCCCCTGGTAACCAAGGTAACAATGTTTGTTTGATCTCTGTTCCAGCCACAAAGAAGGGTACAACGCATTTGCTGATTGGAAGATGGACTGGTCCACCTATGGCCGATCAGAACCCACCACTAAGGCGTTCATGAGTGACAAGATGCTACCATATTGGTTGCAGTGTAATAAGCCTCCGTGCCGAAGATGGCGCCAGATGACACGTGACGCTCAAGTCACGTCAGACCTGGTGCGCAACTATGTGTGTGGAATGTCGCCTCTTGGTGTGAAGGTGAGTTTGATCATGCATTTGTTAGCATGAGTACTTTCATTGTTATAAATTGCTTCAATGTTTTCCGTGCACAAAAGTGTCAGTCATGTAGTTTTGTAGTTAAAGTGTTCGCTCATCACGCCAAAGACACAGGTTCAATTCCCGACATTGGTACAATGTGTGAAGCCCATTTTTGGTGTCCCCTGCTCTGGAATTTTGCTTAAAGTGGCGTAAATGCACATCTCACTCACATTCCATGCAGAAACTGGATCTATGTGTTTTGTGTGATGGGATATATAGAACGGTTTTAAGAAGTGCTGCATAGACTTATGGATTACTTCATAACTACAGACCTGGATATTTTGTGCTTGATATTGCTGTCCTTAGTAATAGGGCCGGTCCTCATTGACCAACACATCTGGGCAGATGTTCTTAGTTCTTAGGGGGCACGGGTGGCCCAGTCGTCTAAGGCGCCGCGATTCGCTGTGCAGAGTTGCGTCCCTTGGGCACGCCAGAAACCTATGATTGTGGGTTCGAATCCCGGTTCACCCCGATTATGTTTCCAGGTTTGTCAGCAACATATCTGTGCTCGTGGTTTCACCGAAATGGTAAACGTCTGAGACCTGCATGACTTCGGGCTTTCCTCCCATATTAAGCTGACACGCCGAGATATAAGTGGAATACTGTTAAAAGCGGTGTTAAACCCAACTCACTCACTCCAGATTCCATATAAATATCCAATGGACTGCAGTTCCTCTTCGTTTGGGTTAATGAAGCCTTTATATAGCTTCTACATGCTGGTTGCTGCACACATTGTGCAGAAATTGTCAAACGTGACACATAATACAGTTTGATTTCATGAAAGGAATGACAATTGTACTTCATGCAGCTCATTTTGTTTTTCCAGAAGGAAAAACAGTACCAGGCCTGTTCAGTACCTGAAGATGAGGTATGAATGTTTTATCTATTGTGTCAAGGTGCTTTATAAGGGGGCTGGGTGTGCAGCCTTGTGGGTAAATACCACCTACAGTGGTATATACGAATCTGATCCTTGGTGATCCGTTGTGATGTTGCTGGAAGAAGTTGTAGCTGACAGTGACATCCACCCAACTACTTCAGATGTACATTTGAAAATTATCACTGTTATCAGTGCAGTTATTTATCAGATAAAAAATAAAGTACTATTTGTTCTGCAGTTGTCAGTATACAGTTGATTCAAGATTAATCTGTTGTTTTGTTATACTAAAATTAATTTATGAAATGTTTGTTTCATATTTGTTGTCCCATGTTTCAAACATTTGAACAAGATCTTCTTCAGAGAGATCGTCGAACTGTGTTGTGCAACTCACAGATGTCATGTTTTCTTGTTGACAAAATCAATATTAATGATGTGGCAGGTCAGTGGTGATCATGTGACAGGTCAATATTCGAGCTCTTTGTCAGTCATGTGATTGACCAAACTCTTTCGCGTCAGACTTCTGTTGTAGGGTCAGCACTGAAATATTTTGTTTCGTCACATGATGTGGATTAACCAATGAAATTCAAACAATCTTAATAGTGGTATGACAACACGTTTTAAAGTATGCTTGGAAGAACCTTCATTCACTGTCTTTCAGTTCCCTTTGACCTGATAATGGTATGGTTGCTTGTGTGTTGTAGCGGGTGCAGTTGTTGCGGAACCAGTCGTGGTACTGCCAGCTGACCTACCAGGTGTACCTGCACAGCTTCCCGGGGGTGGGGCTCCTGGCGGACATGTTCCCAGACAGTGTGGGGCTCAGCTGTACAGACCCAATCATCAAGCAACTAAAGGCTAAACCAGTTGGTAAGTAGTTGGTGGAATAATAGCACTCCATTATCATCCCACTCCATTGGGATACAATGACATACAGGTCAGCTAGTCTGACCACCCAATCCCAATAGTCGCCTCTTACGACAAGCATAGTTGCCTTTTACGGCAAGGATGGGTTGCTGAAGACCCCGGATCTTCACGGGTCCAATTGCTTACACTACAGGCTGACCACCCGATCCCATTAGTTGCCTCTTATGACAAGCATAGCCACTGCTTAGGAAAAGCATGGGTCGTGAAGACCCTGGAACTTCACCGGTCCAATAACTTACATGCTGACCACCCGATCCCATTAGTTGCCTCTTATGACAAGCATAGCCACTGCTTAGGAAAAGCATGGGTCGTGAAGACCCCGGAACTTCACCGGTCCAATAACTTACATGCTGACCACCCGATCCCATTAGTTGCCTCTTATGACAAGCATAGCCACTGCTTAGGAAAAGCATGGGTCGTGAAGACCCCGGAACTTCACCGGTCCAATAACTTACATGCTGACCACCCGATCCCATTAGTTGCCTCTTATGACAAGCATAGCCACTGCTTAGGAAAAGCATGGGTCGTGAAGACCCCGGAACTTCACCGGTCCAATAACTTACAGGCTGACCACCCGATCCCATTAGTTGCCTCTTATGACAAGCATAGCCACTGCTTAGGAAAAGCATGGGTCGTGAAGACCCCGGAACTTCACCGGTCCAATAACTTACAGGCTGACCACCCGATCCCATTAGTTGCCTCTAATGACAAGCATAGCCACTGCTTAGAAAAAGCATGGGTTGCTGAAGACCTACTCTAACCTGGATCTTCCTGGGTTAGCTGTGATGTAACTGAAATACTGTTCAAAGCAGCGTTATACAAAACTCCCCAACTCATGTTCAAATCTGTGCTGCCACAGTCGGTCATGATGGTGAGAGATGATGTCCAGTAGAGGTATTGTTGTTGTGTATGAGATGTTGAGCTGGCAGAAAACTGTCCGAGTTCACAGAATAAGAATAAGTGCAGTTCCCAAAGTGTTAACCTATGGTTGTAGTGGTATTTTCCCCTGTGTGTGCAGATTTTGCCGATTGTTCGGACTACGCCCGGCCATTCTCCCACCCGGAGGAGCCCCAGCATGCCCTGAGTTTCCATGCTAGTATTATGGAGAATGATGAGATCGATGAATTCCCGGTCATGGCAAACGAACACTCCATCCTGTACCTGGCTCTCAGAAACTTTGTCATGGTTCAGTGGGCCCGGAACACCAAGGTAAAGTGTTTAAATTTGATTCGGATTATGAGCATCACATCATATCAGGTCATTAATTCATCTGATCGTTTACTTTTTCAGGATTTTCTTTTCATTTTAAAAATTATATTGCAGTCATCAAATAACTGTAACATGACCTGATCATATTTCTTATGTAAAATTTTTTTTATTTGTCAACAATGCAGTGTACATTTTGAACAGAGATCAACAATGGTCAAGGGAAAATATGTCCCTCATCTTTGAGGCTTATGTCAGCACTTATTGAGTCATTATAAAAACAGATTTGATCGGTTTCTATGATCTGTGATTTGCAGGAATGGCTGACAGTGGATAAGATTGTTCCTGACCTCATCTGCCGTGGCATCACACGTATCCGATGTGTGGAGGATCTGGATCGTATCATCTGGTACCTCACGCGGAAAGGTTTCATCAACACAGGTCTCCTGTCACCCCCAACAGACCTCAAACCTCAGACCAAGCTGCAGAAGGTCGGTGGTGTTGGCATATGTGTTTATACAGACACAAGATTTATACAGGAATTACTCTGATAAAGTCAAAATATAAAGCCATAGGACTCATGAAAATGATAAAGTAGAGAGAAGATGTGTTAGGACATGCATAAGAGGAATCGTTTTGTCCAACTAAAAATTGTTTAGGCTGAACCATTGTTAAAAAAACTTTGTTCAAATATTTATTGTTGATTGTTTATTGTCTTTATAAAGAGCTTCAATACTTTGTTTGAATGTTTTCACATGGTTTAGATAGATATTGTGAGTTTAACATTTTGAGGTGTTAAAAACAATGCCAGATGTCTTTTACTAGTTTCTAGGATTTTACAGAACAAGTTTTATGCTTTTGCTCTAAATTTTGTCATTTCCAATGAGCTGTGACCATTATACTTTGCTTTTAAGAAGAGAATGCTTTTGATCTGTTTATGAATTAATTGACTTTGCAGTCCACCAAAAACTGCTTCTAGTTGACGTAACACTGTAATCACTGATTCTTGTGACATTGTAACCGTTTCTTCATCAGGAGGTGTTAATCATTGGAGGCGGAATGAGTGGACTGGCAGCAGCAAGAGCTCTCAAGAACTACGGTTGTAAGGTAAGAACTACTTGTCAGGAAGTTTTCTTGATGTTGGGCAGTATTCACTCCCACAGAAAAAGCATCTGAAATATGCCCAAAAAGCCACATGGCCGAAATACATAACAGTGGATTAACCTTTCTGCATGCAACACCAGTGTTGTAACTACTAGTTAGGTCTCACACGTAGACAATCCCAGATGATGCTATAGTAGCAGGATCATGTTGTTCATTTGCAGACCCGTGAAGATCTGGGGTAGAATAGGTCTTCAGCAACCCATGCTTGTCGTAAGAGGCGACTAACGGGATTGGGTCGTCAGGCTCGCTGACTTGGTTGATGCATGTCATCGTATTCCAATTTCGTGGATCAATGCTCATGATGTCAATTACTGGATTGTCTGGTCCTGACTCAATTATTTACAGACTCCCATCATATAGCTGGAATATTGCTGAGTGCTGCATTAAACAACAAACATCATAAACATCATAAACATCATCATCATTTGCAGGACTTAGATTGAGCACTTGATGACTACCCTTAAGGTAGCAGTAGTTATTTCATCATTCAGGACAGTCAGTTGACCTTTTATTCTTTTGATGCAGGCAGTGGTATTGGAATCCCAGAACCGCCTGGGAGGGAGGGTCCATGACGACCCTTTAGGTAGCAGTAGTTATGTCTTCATTCAGGAAAGTCAGTTGACCTTTTATACTGTTGTTGCAGGCAGTGGTATTGGAATCCCAGAACCGCCTGGGAGGGAGGGTCCATGACGACCCTTTAGGTAGCAGTAGTTATGTTGACATTCAGGAAAGTCAGTTGACCTTTTATACTGTTGATGCAGGCAGTGGTATTGGAATCCCAGAACCGCCTGGGAGGGAGGGTCCATGACGACACAAGTCTTGGAGTGGTGGTCGGTCAAGGGGCACAACTCTTGGCAGGATGCTACAACAACCCTGTGGCCATAATGTGCAGTCAGGTAAGTGAAACAGTGTAGCAAGTGAACAGTTCGACTTTACCAAAAGTTGACAACAAGAATTTGGAACTACAGATATCACAAGATCCTTAAATCAATGTTTCTTAGATTGAAACAGTTCACATTCTTGCTCTAAGAACAAAATATCAATGTCATCACCAAGGAAACTGATTACTTTGTTATAAATAGTAATATGTTTCTAAACATGCTTCCTGAGGATATGTGTGAAGATTTTACTGATCATTGCAAGTCAATTATCATGGTTATTGTCTATGTGTCAACTGACAAAGAGGGTCTTGTTGAAGTTCTCTGAATGTCTGTATTACCTGTCTATGGGACATTGGTCTCTGTTGCTAATATTACATGGAGACTTTCTTTTCTTTTGTTAACTGTCATTGTTGCTGACTTGAGCTATCGCCGACTTTCGGTGACTTCAGCTATATGTGACTGTTGGTGACTTCAGCTATCGCTGACTGTTGGTGACTTCAGCTATCGCTGACTGTTGGTGACTTGAGCTATCGTGACTGTTCATGTCGTGAGCTGTCGCTGACTGTTGGTGACTTGAGCTATCCTTGACTGTTGGTGACTTGAGCTATCCATGACTTTTGGTGACTTGAGCTATCCATGACTGTTGGTGACTTGAGCTATCCATGACTATTGGTGACTTGAGCTATCCCTGACTGTTGGTGACTTGAGCTATCCGTGACTGTTGGTGACTTGAGCTATCCCTGACTGTTGGTGACTTGAGCTATCCGTGACTGTGGGTGACTTGAACTATCTGTGACTGTTGGTGACTTGAGCTATCCATGACTATTGGTGACTTGAGCTATTCATGACTGTGGGTGACTTGAACTATCTGTGACTGTTGGTGACTTGAGCTATTAATGACTGTTGGTGACTTGAGCTATCTGTGACTGTTGGTGACTTGAGCTATCTATGACTGTTGGTGACTTGAGCTATCCATGAATGTGGGTGACTTGAGCTATCCCTGACTGTTGGTGACTTGAGCTATCTATGACTGTTGGTGACTTGAGCTATCCATGAATGTGGGTGACTTGAGCTATCGCTGACTGTTGGTGACTTGAGCTATCTGTGACCGTTGGTGACTTCAGCTATCCATGACTGTGGGTGACTTGAGCTATTCATGACTGTGGGTGACTTCAGCTATCCGTGACTGTTGGTGACTTCAGCTATCCATGACTGTGGGTGACTTCAGCTATCTGTGACTGTTGGTGACTTGAGCTATTCATGACTGTTGGTGACTTGAGCTATCCCTGACTGTGGGTGACTTGTGCTATCCATGAATGTGGGTGACTTGAGCTATTGCTGACTGTTGGTGACTTGAGCTATCCCTGACTGTTGGTGACTTCAGCTATCTATGACTGTTAGTGACTTGAGCTATTCATAACTGTTGGTGACTTCAGCTATCTATGACTGTTGGTGACTTGAGCTATCCCTGACTGTGGGTGACTTGAGCTATCTATGACTGTTAGTGACTTGAGCTATTCATGACTGTTGGTGACTTCAGCTATCCATGACTGTGGGTGACTTCAGCTATCTGTGAATGTTGGTGACTTCAGCTATCTGTGAATGTTGGTGACTTCAGCTATCTGTGACTGTTGGTGACTTCAGCTATCTGTGACTGTGGGTGACTTCAGCTATCGCTGACTGTTGGTGACTTCAGCTATCTGTGACTGTTGGTGACTTCAGCTATCTGTGACTGTGGGTGACTTCAGCTATCGCTGACTGTTGGTGACCTCAGCTATCTGTGAATGTTGGTGACTTCAGCTATCTGTGACTGTTGGTGACTTCAGCTATCAATGACTGTGGGTGACTTCAGCTATCGCTGACTGTTGGTGACTTGAGCTATCCGTGACTGTTGGTGACTTGAGCTATCTATGACTGTTGGTGACTTGAGCTATCCATGAATGTGGGTGACTTGAGCTATCTATGACTGTTGGTGACTTGAGCTATCCATGAATGTGGGTGACTTGAGCTATCTATGACTATTGGTGACTTGAGCTATTCATGACTGTTGGTGACTTGAGCTATCCATGAATGTGGGTGACTTGAGCTATCACTGACTGTTGGTGACTTGAGCTATCCGTGACTGTTGGTGACTTCAGCTATCTATGACTGTTAGTGACTTGAGCTATTCATGACTGTTGGTGACTTGAGCTATCCATGAATGTGGGTGACTTGAGCTATCCCTGACTGTTGGTGACTTCAGCTATATATGACTGTTAGTGACTTGAGCTATCCGTGACTGTTGGTGACTTCAGCTATCCATGAATGTGGGTGACTTCAGCTATCTGTGACTGTGGGTGACTTGAGCTTTCCCTGACTGTTAGTGATTTGAGCTATCTGTGACTGTTGTTGACTTGTACTGTTGGTTGCAGTCTTGTATTGTCTGTCGCAGTCTTGTACTGCCTGTTGCTGTCTTGTACTGTCTGTTGCTGTCTTGTATTGCCTGTTGCTGTCTTGTATTGTCTGTTGCTGTCTTGAACTCTCTGTTGCTGACTTGTACTTTCTGTTGCTGTCTTGTACTGTCTGTTGCAGTCTTGTATTGTCTGTTGCTGTCTTGTACTTTCTGTTGCAGTCTTGTACTCTCTGTTGCTGTCTTGTACTGTCTGTTGCTGTCTTGTATTGTCTGTTGCTGTCTTGTATTGTCTGTTGCTGTCTTGTACTGTCTGTTGCTGTCTTGTACTTTCTGTTGCTGTCTTGTACTGTCTGTTGCTGTCTTGTACTCTCTGTTGCTGTCTTGTACTCTCTGTTGCTGTCTTGTACTGTCTGTTGCTGTCTTGTATTGTCTGTTGCTGTCTTGTACTGTCTGTTGCTGTCTTGTATTGTCTGTTGCTGTCTTGTATTGTCTGTTGCTGTCTTGTACTGTCTGTTGCTGTCTTGTATTGTCTGTTGCTGTCTTGTATTGTCTGTTGCTGTCTTGTATTGTCTGTTGCCGTCTTGTATTGTCTGTTGCTGTCTTGTACTTTCTGTTGCTGTCTTGTACTCTCTGTTGCTGTCTTGTATTGTCTGTTGCTGTCTTGTACTTTCTGTTGCTGTCTTGTACTGTCTGTTGCTGTCTTGTATTGTCTGTTGCTGTCTTGTACTGTCTGTTGCTGTCTTGTATTGTCTGTTGCTGTCTTGTATTGTCTGTTGCTGTCTTGTACTTTCTGTTGCTGTCTTGTACTGTCTGTTGCTGTCTTGTACTCTCTGTTGCTGTCTTGTACTGCCTGTTGCTGTCTTGTACTCTCTGTTGCTGACTTGTATTGTTGTCCCCCGCCGCGCGAAAGCACGAAGCGGGGGATATAGTATTCACGGCCGTCCGTACGTACGTCCGTACGTACGTCCCACCTGTTTGTTGCCGCGATATCTCAAGAACTAAACACTGGATTGTCTTCATATTTGGAACTATGGTGTATATACAAATTCCGCAGACACCAGTCGGTTTTGGTGACCTTGACCCCATTTTCAAGGTCACAGCAGGCAAATCTGCTTTTGGAGTTGGAAAACAATGTTGCCGCGATATCTCCAGAACTAAACACTGGATTGTCTTCATATTTGGAACTATGGTGTATATACAGACTCCGCAGACACCAGTCGGTTTTGGTGACCTTGATCCCATTTTCAAGGTCACAGCAGGCAAATCTGCTTTTGGAGTTGGAAAACGGTGTTGCCGCGATATCTCAAGAACTAAACACTGGATTGTCTTCATATTTGGAACTATGGTGTATATACAGACACCGCAGACACCAGTCGGTTTTGGTGACCTTGACCCCATTTTCAAGGTCACAGCAGGCAAATCTGCTTTTGGAGTTGGAAAACGGTGTTGCCGCGATATCTCAAGAACTAAACACTGGATTGTCTTCATATTTGGAACTATGGTGTATATACAGGCGGGGGACATTTCGTCACTTTGTGACAAATACTTGTCTGTTGCTGACTTGTGCTGTCTGTTACTGACCTGTACTGTCTGTTGCTGTCTTGTACTGTCTGTTGCTGTCTTGTACTGTCTGTTGCTGTCTTGTACTGCCTGTTGCTGTTTTGTATTGTCTGTTGCTGACTTGTACACTCTGTTGCTGACTTGTACTGTCTGTTGCTGGCAGGCTGGGATGGAGCTGACGCCAGTGAGGGAACATTGTCCACTCATCACAGAGGATGGGCATGTCGTTACAGAGGATGTTGATCGCAGAATTGACTTCCATTTCAATGCAATGCTGGATATCATTGCTGAGTGGAGAAAGAACAAGGACATCACAGCTGATGTCAGCCTGTTCGGTGAGTTTGTAGATGAAGAGTAGACTTTGAAATAAACATTCACCACTAATGTTTAGAATAAAAATACTCTGATATTTTAGACACCATGCATTGTGTTCCTGGTCCGAGTCCTGGGCATTAAGATCTTCGTCCTGTGCTAATATATTATTGTTTTACTATGTCATCACACATAATTTCATGCTTTCAGAAAAATTCTATGAGATGCATCAACAATTTGTGGATGAGTCCCAGATCATGTTCACAAAGGTCAGTATCAACTAAGCAAATGTTGTTAGCAATCTACCTCCTCCGTGGTCTAGTAGTAGAGCGTAAACCACGTTTGATACCAAGGTGTGCGAAGTCCATTCATTAATGAGATGTTCTCTTGATCAGATGATGCCTTGATAACATGTTATGGTTTAGATTGGATGTCAGATTTAGATAACCGTGCAGACATTCCTATGTGATCTGACCACCTCTGTTGCCTAGTGGTAGATTGTCTGTCCTGATTGCGGAAAGGCCGGGGTTCACTTCCGTGTCATACCAAAAGTCGTCAAAAGATGTTACTTGTTGTTACCCTGTCTGGTGCTTGGCATTAAGGGACTGGTTATTTCGTGTTAATATCAAGTATTGGCTTTTTGGTTTAGTATTTGACTAAATATGTTTTATGTTATTTTGTCTGTCATGGTTATTGAGCTTGTTACTAACGTTTTATCAAAGTGCAGGTGCTGATTTCACAACCATGAGGAATCTTAAGCAACATGGATTTCTAACTATTAATACTGTGTTATGTGCACACTGTACTTCAACATGGGTTTTGTGGGCATGGGTGGCCCAGCTGTCTAAGTCATTGCACCTAGCTGACAGTAGTTCCATGACTGCCATGCCAGGATCCTCTGAGGGTGATTCCATGTGATCATGTGAATTTCCAAATTCATGTGTATATGGTTAAGGTGTTGTTTGTTTCCTGTTTTTCGCCGCACTCAGCAATATTCAAGCTAAATGACAGCGGTCTGTAAATAAACAAGTCTGGACCAGACAATCCAGTGATTGACATCATGAGCATCAATCCACGCATTTGGGATACGATGACATGCAGCAACCAAGTCAGTGAGCCTGACTGCCCGACCTCATTAGTCGCCTCTTGCGACAAGCATAGTCGCCTCTTGCGACAAGCATAGTCACCTTTTACCACAAGCATGGGTTGCTGAAGACCTTTTCTACCCCGGATCTTCACGGGTATTATGATTTTGTAGAGGTGACATGTATTTCACTGATAACAGGACCAATACAAGAGGAAGAGGCTTTAAAGCTTAGCTTTACATTATTGCATTGAATGCAATGTTAAAATACCTGTACATTCAAGACAATAAGATCTTAAGTAAAATCCCAATTTTGTGTAAAATAACATTTCCCCTCCAATTTGCCTGCCAAGGGTACTTAGTTTGGAATAGAAAATATATCTCTGTTACATAGAGAACTGTTCTGTCGTTCTTCCTCTCCTTGGTATGTAACATATCATGAATGTTTGTTACCTTCCCTCCTCAGCAAGAAGAGCAGGTGCTCCAGTTCCACATAAGCAACCTGGAGTATGCCTGTGGCGGCTCTCTCAACAATGTATCTGCTCTCTCCTGGGATCAGAATGAGGCTCTGCCCCAGTTTGCCGGATCTCATATCTTTGTCAAGGGAGGTTACTCTCAAGTGCTAAATAAGATGGCAGAAGGGCTTGATGTTCGGTTAAACCATCATGTGAGTTCAAACAGAAAGTATTCTATATGTCAAGAAACTGTTCATGTTGCCAATTTTATTTTGTAACTTTTCAGTGATGTATTGCCAGCAGACTATGAACAGATGTGATGTGTTGATAATTTGATATCAGTTGTTACATTGTAGTGATGGGTTTTGTCCTAAATTTTGTACTGCAAATTATTGCAATAATGATTCATGTATTGCAATACGTACCACAATATAATGCATGCGTTTTTTCATCTGTTATTTGTTATGGACCTGAACACCCCCCTGCATGTTTTTGACAACTTTGTATTTCGTTGGATGTTGCTATGGTCACAAAGCATGTGTAATAGACACATCATATACATGATACTGTCACAAATACTTTTTAATGTTTCGACGGCAGGAAAAGTTGCTAATTTCTTAATTTCCATTTGAGTTGACACTAGTGTAAAATATTCCAACAAGATGATATAAATGATTGTGAAAAATGCAATATGCTGGTATTTTCCAAACGTATTGTGGTATGTATTCATTGGTATTTGGTAATATCGTGCGCCTCTATTACATTGCTACTACTAACTAGGCAAGACCACATATTTGAAATATATGCTGACTGTTTCAGGTGTCTAAGATTGACTTCAGTTCCGATCCAGTTGTTGTGACCACTACCTCAGGTCAGGTCTTCCAGTCTAAAGCAGTGAGTACTGACATCGTATTCCATAGTGACTGGATTGTTAAATCTATGGAAAGGTCTTCACTTCAAACAATAGGTCTTCTTTCTCAGGTCTTCCAGTCACATGTTATACTTACAATTCAAGTCATTTTGTGTTGTACTTGACTTGTTTTTGAGACATTGCTTTTAGGAATTGTTCAGAGACTAGCTGTAATGGTGACATCTGACAAGCAGTGTGTTTTGTTGTGCCCCAAACAGTTCTATGCTGTGCCAGGATAAACATATTGATGGCAAGAGTTTTTTATTCCATTTTGTATCTGTGTATGGGAACTTGTCCCTTCAAAATGAGACAAAGTTGAGGGTTGTGATTCTGAGACACATTTCTTTGTAGTTTTAGAACCATGAGATCATATTTTCTTCTTTGGAGAATATTTCTTGTACGTGATGTGTTAGAAAGTAAGAAACATTTTCACTTCATAAGAAGGATGTAAGGAAAATATGAATAAAGTTTGATTTTTATTCTTCTTAGGTGTGATCATATTTAGGCTTTGAAAATTGTTGGCAGTTTGGGCATCCTTTTGTATTTGACATGATGGGTTTTGTTAATGTACTTAAAGTTAGTTTGCACTGTTATCTTTTGTCTGTGTCAGGTGATAATGTCAGTCCCCCTGTCTACTCTGAAGAATCATAAGATACAGTTCCAGCCACACCTGCCCGAGAGGAAACTGAAGGCCGTCATTGCACTGGGGGCTGGGCTCGTGGAGAAGGTACGCACATAATGAGACGATTTTAATTTGCTTTGGGACAGAAATTGAAATCTGACACTTGGGTCCCACACATTTTTTTCACATACAAAAATGATCCCCTGCCCACAAAACATTTCAAGAGGCGTTGCTGAGTAAGAATTGTATCTTTTTAGGCTACAAGTGATAATGGATTGTTTATTGTTAGAGTAGAGATCAGTAGAAAGTGGGAGAATGCTACTTGATGTGAAGATTTGTCATGTTGTAAGAGGATCCTGATGGGGGTGTACTGTTCAGCGTAAAACAACTGAAAATACACTATTGTAAATGTAAGATTAGTCAAATTTTTATCATAAAGATTACGGTAATATGTCCCTAAAAACTGCTTAGCATTAATTAAAACTAAACCAGTTTTTCCCATGTGTCCATACAGACAGACTGACAATCTGTATTCACATAGAGATGATTTTGCATATTTTATTTGGACTTGACATTTTATTCGCTATTCAAGTTTTTGTACAGACTAAGCCAATAAGATAATGACTACTTACTAAAAGCCCAAAATTTTACTATCTACTGACTTGTAACACCCCTATCAAGACCCTCACATAAGTAGGGAGAGACATAGAATAGATGGAGATGATATGTATTTGCGATGGCAAGATAGAGGTCACAAATTACATTGAATTTCAGTGATTTCATTTATGTTAGTAATTTTCTGTTGCCGATTACTAGGTTGCGTTGAAATTTGACAAGAAATTCTGGAACAAGAAAACCAAAGGTGAAGATTTCTTCGGCCATGTTCCTCCCCATGAGTCAAAGCGAGGCCTGTTCAGCACCTTCTATGACCTGTCTACCTCAAAGGTGAGCTGAATAACACAGGCCTGTGGAGTAGACATTGGATATATATTATCAAGTTAACAGCTACAACAACCATCTATTCAAATACATGGTAACACAGGGTGCACACAGGGCTTGAAAAGACCTTGAAAATAAATGTTACTTCAAAAGACCTTGAATTCTACCCGAACTACACATAGAATTCATAGTTATTTTAACACAAAATACAAACATGCTTGTGAAAGTCTGCGAATTTAAACTTAATAGCTGATTTTGCATACTTCGTTTGCATGATGATTGCTTGAATTGCCAGTGTTCTACCAAATGAATGTGACTGTGATCTGGGAAGAGTTACTTCCCTTTATATTACACTCCAGCACTGAATATTTGCATCATGTTTGTGTTTGTTCATCCGTTTGCCTTGTATTTGGGTAAAGTACCTTGAAAAGGCCTTGAATTTGTTGAAGACAAATCTGTACTGCCGTTGGTGAGTTTCTGTTTGCATATGCAGAAACGACAACACAGTGACGTTTTTTTAGATATGTATACAGTCCTCACATATGATGTCCCTCTGACTTCACACTATCAGGATACTTGGAGATAGGATTTGGTTTGTCTGTTTGTTGTGTTAACTATGTAGTCTGCAATGTTCCATCTATATCATGACAGCTTGTTAGTAAGTTTTGGGCTGGACAAACCAGTGGTTGACACAATGAGCAACATCCCATTGCAACATGACACAGCAATCAACAAAATGCACTTATGACAAGTAATAGACTGCTGTGGACTTGTTTGAATCTTGGGGCCCCATGCAGTTGACTTATCATAATTTATCACTGGTATCAAAACAGCATTAGTAATATTGGACTTACATTGTGTGTTGATGCTTTTGTAAGGGAGAGTCTTCTGTGGATGAATTCATGTTGAAATTAAACAAGACTTGGGTGGCTGCGACCCTAGACGAGCGCTATCATATGGTGGTCTTAGGGTCGAGGCAACCCTAGACTAGCTGAAATATATGCTGGTCCTTGGGTCACAGCAACCTTAGACTCACTCTAAGATATACCGGTCATGAGGTCACGGTGACATAGACTATATAAGGTATCTTTAGATTATGGCTTGGAGTCCCTTGATGTGTTTGGAACTCCCTTGCGAACCCTTCTTAGGAAGTATTGTGATCTATGAAAGAAGATCATTTTCAGTGATTTGAAAATCTGGATTAAATATATTGCTTGACTAGATACTTGTTTTGCATGTACCATGTACCATGCATCATTGACTGATCTTTCTGAATCCACCTCTGTTGCAGACTCCTGATTGTAAAACTAACATCCTAGTGACACACATCACAGGGGATGCTCTCACCCTGATAGAGGGGAAGAAAGATGCTGAGATTGTCAAGATGTGTGTTGCAGTGCTGAGGAAGCTCTTTCCTGAAGAGGTGAGAAATGATGTGCTTAGGTTGTGGGTGTGTGCAGAGATGTGAAGAGGTGAGAAATGATGTGCTGAAGTTGTGGATTTGTGCAGAGATGTGAAGGGGTGAGAAATGATGTGCTTAAGTTGTGGGTGTGTGAAGAGATGAGAAGTGATGTGCTTAAGTTGTAGGTGAGTGGAGAGATGAGGTAAGAAATGATGTGCTTCATTTTATGGGTGAGTGGAGAGGTGTGAGGAGGTTTTGATGTGCTTAAGTTGTGGCTGTGCGACTCATGTGCATATGTTCTTGTGTTGAAGTAAGCTCCACTAGATTGTCATGCTCCAAGGCTGACTGACCACCTCTGTGGTCTAGTGGTAGAGTGTCTGCCTGGAGAGAGTACGATCAGGGGTTCGATCCCTGTATGCATCATACCAAAAGACATTAAAAGATGGTACCCTGCCTACGCTCAGCATTAAGGGTCTAAATCTAAAGCAAGGCCTTGTCGGCTTGAAGTCAGTATACTGTGTCTGAGTGGGGTGTACTCATGTTAAACTGGGGCACGGTAATTTTTATGGCTAGTCCGACATTAGTCTGGACTAGTACAAGAAGCCACACACACACATGCATACATGTTGCTATATAAGTGCCATCATCGTGAACGCGACGTTTAACCCCATTTCACCTCCCCTCACCCAGGCTGACTGTGTGCAACTATTTCAGAGTGTCCCGGAGCCGAGCCAGTCGTTTGTGACTCACTGGAGGGACCCCTCCAACACAGGCATGGTGTACAGCTATCTGCCTGTTGGACGAGAAGGCGCTGTCTACGATGCTCTTGCAGAGGATGTGGAAAAGAAGATATTCTTTTGTGGGGAGGTATGTCATGTTTCCACTAAGTAACAATTGTTAAGAAAAGAAGAGACTTTGCAAATATTTTCATAGAAATGTTATGATGGTGCAGAGTTGGGTGAATGGAACACTCATCTATTGCCACCCTATATAGCCTTTCTGTGAGTTTGCTTTCAATCATAAGTTTGTTTGTTTGTTTGTTTGTTGTTTAACGCCCCACTCAGCAATATTCCAGCTATATGATGGCAATCTGTAAATAATCGAGTCTGGACCAGACAATCCAGTGATTGATATCATTAGCATCGATCCACGCAATTGGGATCGATGACATGCATCAACCAAGTCAGCGAGCCTGACGACCCGATCCCGTTAGTCGCCACTTATGACAAGCATAGTGGCCTTTTACGGCAATTATGGGTTGCTGAAGACCTATTCTATCCCGGATCTTCACGGGTCTACAATCATAAGAGCTATTGCTGTTTCTCTTTGTGAAAGATAGTGATCTGCTCAACTTTTGTATGACCCAGCCTTGCCACAAAAGTTCAAAGTTGGGTCTATCTCTAAAATTAAAGTCTATTTTAATTGAAGTTCATTCTGTTGATCATAAGATATTGACATTAATTGTTTCAAAGGTTCGGTCGAATCAAAATCTAAAAGAACTGAACTGTTATTTTTCAGGCAACAAACCGCCAGTTCCCACAAACCGTGACAGGAGCTTATTTGAGTGGAATCAGGGAAGCAGAAAAAGTTCTCATGCAGATGATCTCATGACATCGATAGTGACCACTTATGATGAACATCTTGGTCATGTGACTTTTTCATCCAATTGGATTTTCATGTGTATGGCATGATCTTCATTAACCAATCAAAGATCAAAACTTGATGATCAGCTGATTTGGATGACCAGTCAGATGTGTTGCTGAGGATGATGTATATGTAGCTTAGTAGATACATCAGTATAGCATTTGGTACATATCTAGTGTGGATATTTGTTCACTGGTCACAACATGCTGGGGTATTGCCTGTAAGATGGACATTGTATACATTTGTATTCATATACCGGTCATTCTATTTTTGTAATGCAGAGTTGATGTGAAGTGGTAGATCTGAATGAAGTGCTACAATGAAGTGTTGTGAGCTGCAGAAGTAGCTGATAGACTTGAGCCATGTAGTGCCGAAAAGACCATTGTTTGAAGAAACAGCTGAATCAGCAGAATTACTGATCATTGAATAAGTGATCCTAAACTGTGAATGGATCAACATCCTTCAGCTGTAATTGTGTATAATGTGGATTGATACTTCCTTAGAAATCAGATTGTTGGACTATACACGATTCCATTGTTTGAGAAATTTTCAGGAAGGAAAATAGAAGACGTGAAAAATCTGAATGTTTCTCTGAAGTATGGCGATGTTTGTACTGTGTATAAACACATATACTGAAATATTTTGTGAAGCTGTGCAACAGAAGACGAATCAAATATGAATAATTTGTTGAAGAAAATCTGAAGTGGTGCCTACATACAGACAATAGGTTTTGAACATTTCATTATGAAAACAACAGGATAGAGATAGAGAAAACCGATACATTAGGTCCAGGGGCCTAATCCACAAAGCGATCGTAGCGCTAAGATGATCGTAACTTCCATACTTTAACATAGACTTACGACAGTCGTAGCGCTACGATCGCTTTGTGGAACGGGGTCCTTGGGCCTAATCCACAAAGGAATCATAGTGCTAGGACAGTCGTAAATCTACGTTAAAGTGTTAGAGTTACGTTCACCTTTGCACTTAGATCGCTTCATGGACTGGGGCCCTGTATCACCAAGTGATTACAGTACTACTACTGTCACAAAGCTGATATGATGACTGTAGTGCTACGATAGCTTTGTGAGGCTGGGCCCAGGATGTTGATGATTATTAGCCAAGTGAGTCAGTGTTGCAAGTCCCTAGTGGTGAAGTTTCCAGAACCCAATCCTATTTATTATCATTCTATTCGTAATTCAATTTTTATCCATGTATCATATTTCTTGTCTACTGAATTGAAAGACCTTACGTTTTTCTTTGTATGATCCCCTCAGGATAACGTCAGCATGGCTGAACTTTGAAACATTTCAGTGCAATATGTAGGATATCTTTTGTCTGTGGCTCTTCATGCTAGCTTAATCAGTGTTCATCGTGTGGCATTGTCAAACTGTTGAATTTCCTTGGTACATAAATATAGCTGAATCTTGCTTCTTCCCTGATATAGCTGGAATATTGCTGACTGGGGAGTATTGACTCTCAGATGTGGCAGACATGGTAGGCGCAGTCATCTAAGGTGCTGCAATTTGCTGTGCAGAGTTGCATCCCTTAGACTGGCCAGAAACCTATAACCACAGCTTTGAATTCCATATTTGTGTCTGGTTACTGACCACTGTATTCATGGGTTTCACCAAAGTGGTAAATGTCCGAGACCTGTGTATGCCGATTGGGCTTCACGTCAAGCTGACATGCCGTGATATTACCGAATAGTGTTCAAAACAGTGTTAAACAAACTCACTCACTTTAAACGTATGATGTAAAAGATACTTTTAATGGGTCCTCTTTTTCCCCTTGGGAATTATTTTGGCTGCTTTTTCTGAACAGTGCTGAAATTTGGCGAGCCCCAGTTGAACCCAGTTGACCCTGCCATCATGTTTGAAAAGAAATTGCATTTTCCAATGTGGTATTTCAAAAAGAAAAATAACTTTTACTGGTCATGAGAATCACACTGATCAAGACTTAATTTTCAAATGTTTGATAGATTCAATACTGTACGAATAGGTGATCCACAAAACAAAACTTTACTAGCCAGCAGGGCCAGCTTTTGTTGCAAGGAATGGTCTGTCATAAACATCTCAATAGCTAACAATAATCAGCCTGTCAATGTGTGAGTGCAGGCTATTGACTGGCCCACTTTGACCTTGGACTTTGAACACAGCAGGCCCTTTCTGTCCTCCTATGGTCAGAGGACCAGCGGTTAGTTGACCCTTACATTAGTAAGCTTAAACTGCTAGCTTAAACCTTGATATTTTGCATTAAGACTTCTATCTAATAGCATCATCATGATCATATCAATTAGAGTGTGTGGTACATATTTTTTATGTTGCTGACTACCGGTAATTGCTAGTCATTGAGTGCTATTTAAAACGCCTTTTTACATGTTCAAAATACAATGACATGAAATTGATATGCCGGAAGTGTGTATTAATTTTTATCAAATACCATTCATAGAAGCCTCCCTTAGTTTACAAGCCTCCCCAAAGTCCATGTTAAACCCGAGACCATATAATAATCTATTATATGGTCTCTGATTAAACCAACCCTAACTTACTTAGTTCTGATATAACTAAGACTAATGTTGTAGCTGAACTAAACTGGATTAAGTTGAATAATTTGAATTTGCATCTATAGTGTACATAATCCTTTTATTATCCCTATTGATAAAGACTTGGACTACATTTTACCTCTAGTATACATAGTTAGAATATATTAGTGTAAGTCACTGAGATTAAATGGCATTAGATGCTGTTATCTTTGATTAGAGTCAGTAGAACACTAGCTGATGTTTGTTTAGTACTTCCATGATTATAACAAAATCACTTGATTTTCTTGTAGTGTCAGAAATTCGAACAAGACAGTTAGTATCATTTTTTTACCAAGGACTGGGGCCTCGAATTTTTGAACTTTTAAGTGTTAATCTTTCTGAAACTGTAAATTAGGCTAAATATGTCAGTATCCTTGAAGCTTGGAATGTTTTTCTTAAACTTTGTCTTTCAAGATTAAGGTTCAAACCATGTTTCGCTTCATAGGTCAGATTGTTTATTAAGAAAGTGATCCTATTTTGTTTACTATTTTGGTCGAGTTGGCACAGAGTGGGTGACATTTCCTCTGCATTGTGGATTGTAACCAACATTAAGCCATTGCTGCATTTACATTTTACACATTTTGTTCTTGCACAAACATATGGTGACAGTATGAAATAGTTGCTAAAGCAATATGATAAGCAATAATGTACTATATGTCCATTACATTATCTTTTATAATAGGGTTTTAGTTTTTCTGATCATCAAAGGAATGAAGATCAGTGTGTTATTAAAAATGAAATGCCAGAGGTTTGTGCCATTGAAAAACAGAAAAGAAATACTTGTAAAGATTTTGATACATTTCTCCCTCTTATTATCATTATAGTAATGAAATGGTCCTTACAAGGATTATATTTGTATTTGGACTTGCCAAGGTGTCTGCTTTCTCACATTAGCTCTATACTGTGTCAGGAGGCATTTAGTGGTTCATGCTAAAATATGTGTCTAGCTTTCATCAAAGGATGTGAGTGACGTTTTCTTTTCCTGGACATTCCTAAATGATGTCACATGACATGCTGAATCATTTTTGTCATGTTTGGCTCGTCGGAGCATCCAGTCTTAACTGTTCTCTTATAACTTCCTTTTCGACGATATGATGTATTATATCTAGATGTGAAATCCAGCAGCATACATTTGCACAGCAACACATGGGCTATGTTGTAAGGGGTAGCTATCAGCAGGACTGCAAGTACTCACGGTATACCTGTATATTGCAATACGTTTGTATTGCAATATTTCCACTGTTCTGGTATTATGGTATACATTCATTCTCAAATGTTTCCCTTCAAAATTGAGTGACAAAACTGCAGAAACGAGAAAGTGAATTATCTCTTTCATTGTTATCTCCCCTGTATCCATGACTACAAAATGGCGGTGGATACAGAGGTGCAGTTGGGTGTGTCATCCATCCATTTGTTTTATTTCGGATCCCTCCTCCCAACATTTAATAATCCTGCATCAGCCCAAAATTCATGGTTTCGTCTGAGGCTAGAGGAGGTGCTTAACTAAAACAGACATTTCGATTGTTAGTTTCTGTGGATTGACATACCAAAGTGGTCAACATCTGAGACCTGTCTCTTGGGGCATTCTTCCTGCATTAAGCCGACATGCTGTGATACAACTGGAGTTATGTTCAAAGCAGAGTTAAACCAAACTCATATAATCCTGTGTATTCTTCAACCCAAGTACCCGTGAAGAAAAGTTCTGCAGCATCCCATGCTTGTTGAAAGCGGCGACTCTGCTTGTCGTAAGAGTTGACTAATGGGGTCAGGCCCAACTTGGTTGATGTATGCATGTCCTCGTATCCCAATTGCGTGGATCGATGCTCATTATACCAATCACTGGATTGTCAGGTGCAAGGCTTTATTATCAACAGACCGCCAACATATAGCTGGAATATTGCTGAGTGCGGCGTTAAACAACAAACTTTGACCTAAGTCTGCTAATCACGAGACCATTTAAGATACATTTGCCACTAGTTTGAAATGAGCTATGGGCTATATGGCTTTGTCTCATGGTGTCTATCCCCGTAGTCATCAACCTTGCTTGGATGTGTTTCTGTGCAAAATCAAATAGACGTCTGGTTTCACGTTAGGTACAACAATCATGTAATGAAGTTATGTTTTTTTATGAAACAATCTGTACAGGTTTGGTGAACTTGTATCCGTGGTAATTTAAATACCCCACATCATCTTTACAATGATGTACTATTTCAAGATTTACTAAGCTCGGAGGTTGTAATGTGCTTTTTATTCATTCTCACCTATGTACATAAGGTCATAATAACATCTTAGCATTTCGTCTGATGCCAAAGATTAGCTGATCAGACATTTTGTACCTGTATAAATTTGAAAATTTGTTCTATTCGTTTAGGATGAAATACTGATACAGCTAAAACTTCGAAATTGAATCTATTCTGGCCCAAGTTCTTCAAAGAACAAAGCTGCAATATTTTGTTATCATTTATTACATCATTGTAAATTCATTTACCATATTTTCTATATGCAAATATCAGTAGATTTTCTTTTAAATCCACTGTGAATAAATAACTGAAGCATAGTGTTTCTCTTCTTTGTTCTTCATATTTTGGGGGCGGTCGGGTAGCCTAGTGGTTAAAGCGTTGGCTCGTCACGCCGAAGACCCGGGTTCGGTTCCCGACATGGGTACAATGTGTGAAGCCCATTTCTGGTGTCCCCCGCCGTGATATTGCTGAAATATTGCTAAAAGCGGCGTAAAACCATACTCACTCACTCACTCTTCATGTTTTGCTTCCCATCAGCTATTCCAGATGATTGGCCCAGAGACCATATACAGTGAACTACAGTTATAATGAACTCAAAGGGACCACTAATTTTTTATCGTTATTACTGTTTGTTATCAACATATATACATCAAACGAACGGGACCCCCTAAAACCGTTTGTCTTATCCATCAGTTCGTTATAAGCGTGTTCGTTATAAACGTAGTTTACTGTACCGATATGTGCTCTCTGACTGGCTCAACAGCCACTTTGTGTGGTTTCATGACAGAAGATATCCTCGCCTTGCGGAGTTGACTCAGGATTGAGTGGTAGGACTTAGTGTTTGTTTGTTTGTTGTTTAACG